CCGGTCCCGGTGAAAGGGTCGGGACTTCCAGGGGCGCCGTCCTGAACAATTCAGGGCGTCGCGTGTCTGGGCTGGCTTGGCGGGGGCTTGTCGCGCTGGTCGTGCTCGCCGGGCACGGCGTCGGGCGCGCGCCGGTCGGCTCGTCTGCGGCCGCGCGCCAGCGGCGGGCCCCGTGCGCGCCGCGGCTCTCGCGCGGTCGCGGGGGCCAGAGAATGCGCGGGCATTTTGCCGCTGGCCCCGTCGTTTCTGGCGTCGGTGCTGCCTGGGGGCAGGCGTGTCGGCGCGAGGTTGCGGTGGGCAGCCAGGGCTGCTCGTGCTCGGTGCTTCTTTGGATTTTTGTCCAGTCCGTGGCATGGGTCGGCCTGGATCTCCACCTGGCCCGCCGTCGCCGACGCGCCTTGCTCGCGCGGATCGCCGGGGCCCGCGACTCGGCCAGGCGCGCGCCCGCGTCGAGGGGCCCAAGTCTGCGCGGCGAGGTTTCGCTGCAGGTCGCGGCTTCGCGACCGCGTCCGCCCGCGGCTTTGCGCGGGCGGCCTTCGACGGGCCCGGCCAGCCAGGATCAGTCTCGCCAATGGTTTACAGAGTCGATTATGCATTTGTTCTGCCGCGGCTGTCTGGGCGCGGTCATCGACGACCCCCTCGCAGGGCCCATCGATGAGCAGGTTGCAGTATTGTCTGATCTTGGATGCACCATCCCTGCCTCCAAAGTTGCCGCCGTTGCCTCGGGGCCGGCTGTCCCTGCGGAGTTTCGCCGCGGGCTCGGCGCCGTCGGGGGCGATCTTGCATCTCTGCAATCAACCTCGGCATCGACGATGCCGCTGGGGAGCCGAGGGGCGATGTCGAGGAGAGGCTCGAATGCCCAAGTGCGGAATGCTTTTGCCGCCGAGCGAATTCACTGACTTGGCGCGCACCGCGCCGCTCTTGGCGGGCGCGCCAAGCGATTGGCCACCGCTGGCGCGCTCGCGAGTCGCGCGCGCAGAGCCCGCGGCACTCCGGACCGCGAGCTGTCGGCCCCGTTTTTTTTTTTCGTCCCCCCCCCCTCCCGCTGGAGGGCGCTCGCTCGCCGCGGCTCTGCCGCTCGCCGCAGGCCCCGCGCGGCGCCGCTCGGCGGCCCCCGCCGCCCCCGCCGGTCGAGGGAGGCCTGCAGGCGAGCCTCGCGGGGCCCTCCGGGCGCGGCCCCGCCCCCTCGCCGAGCCCAGCGGGGCCCGGGGGCCGGGCGCCTCGGGCCCCCCCCCTCCCTCCGCGGGCCCAGACCCCCGACGTCACGCATTTTTTTCATGACGTCGGCCCCCAGCGGTCTGGACCCTTTCCCCGGGACCGGTTCTTCGTCCTGGGTCGTTGTTTGACGGCCCCGAAGGCCGGTATAAGGGCCCCCCCGAAGCCAGAAATGGTGAGAAACCTCCCGTCGTGATTTTTGTCATAACTCGAGGGGGTCTGGGGAAGAAGGTCGCGGGCCTTGCGGGGGCCCTGCGCCCGTGGGCGGTGCGCCCCAGGCTGGGGGGCGACTGGGCCCGCGACCGCCATCAACGACTTGGGGGCGGAGGGCCCCCCTCGCGCGAGCGGCCCCCGCTTCGGTCGCAGGGCTTCGTAGATTCGCTGCTCTGCGCGCCCGCGAGCGCGCCCGCGGAGACAGCCCCGGCCTCGAGTGGCGACCTTGCTGGGGCGTCTTTCGCGCCGGGCTGGCGTCTTCCAAGATCCCCCCCCCCTGGGGAGAAGGCTTCGCCCGTTGCCCGGCCTGTCAGGCGTCCGGGACTGAGGTGGGGGCCGCAGGGAACGGGCGCCAGCTCTCCGGCCCCCCTTGCCGCGCGTGTCTGAAGGCCCATAGGACAGTCTGCCCAACCGCGTTGCGAGCATCCGATCTTCGCCGCCGCGCCCCGGGGGATCCCGGGCGACGACGTTCAGTTCGAGCCTCAGACTGGGAGGGGCTCAGCAGACACAACCTAGCGTTGCACGAGCATTTTATGTTTCCACCCCGGCGACGTCGCCCTCGCCCCCGCCGAGGCTGAGCTTGCTGCGCGCCGCGCGTGCGAGGCCGCTCGCGATGGTTGCGCCGTGCAAAGTAGGGTGGGTCTTCATGGGCGGGCCCTGCGTCGGATCGGTCGCTCAAGTTCGAGGGCTCTCCGCGAACTGGACGAGCGCGCGCGCGTGCGTTTCCGATCCTGGGCCGGAGCTGGGTCGCGCGCGCGCGCGCGCCGCGCGCCCCCCGCCCCCCGGGCGGCCCGGGCAGGTGAGCTCGCAGATTGCGCTGCGGCCTGTCAGGACGCCTCGCGGGCAGTTCACGGGCGGCTTCGGCGACTGCCAGAACGCAGCGGGGGCCCGGGCCTCACCTCGCCGTGAGCAGTGACCTTTTCGAAGAGAGCCCACGCGGGCACTTTTTGCGCGGGCGGCCGAGCTTCGAAGGTGGGCGCGCGCGCGGCTCTGGGCCGCGCGTCCTGCTGCTCGGGCCGAGGGCGGCGGCCGCCGTCCGCTGGGCAGAGCCGGCGAGGAGGCCGGCCCCGAGCATGGCCTGCGTGGCGCGACAGAGTGCTGCGCAGCCGCGCGAGCAACCCAGACCCCCTCGAGCTATGAAAAAGGCACGACGGGAGGTCTTTCATTACTTTTGGCCTTTGGGGGCCCTTACCGGCCCTCGGGGCCGTCAAACAACGACCCAGGACGAAGAACCGGTCCCGGGGAAAGGGTCCAGACCGCAGGGGGCCGACGTCATGAAAAATTCATGACGTCGGGGGTCTGGGCCCGCGGCCTCTGCGCGTCCTCTCTCCCGGGCCGCCAGGGCCGGGGGGCCGTTGGCCCCCGCCCCCCAATGGCCCGGCACCCGTCGGTTTGGAGGGGCAGGTTCTGGCAGCGCACGCAGTTCTGGCGTGCCCGAGGGCCCCTGCGCGTGCAGTTGCACTGCGACGCGCGAGCTCTACGGCCGCAAGTGCCTTGCGTGCTCCTGCTCTGACGGCGCCGCCCCGTGCATCTGCGTCAAGTTCAACAGTCTTTCGAGGAGGGAACGCGCGCGGTATCTCAATCGTAAGTGCGAAAACCGATGTTTCTCGGCTCGGCAAGGATGCTCTCAGTGTCGTGCGGTTTTTTGGCTGACGCCCGTTCGAGGGTAGCCTCCTCTCCTGGCACCTGCCACGGGGGCGGTGCCTCGTCGCGATGCCTGCAGCCTCCTGCAAGCAGCTCAACATGCGCGGCTTCCTGTGCCGAGTGCGCCCGTGAAGCCTCGTGCTCGTCGGCTGCGTGGCTGGCCGCCAGGAGGACTGCGAATACCCATGGCAGAGCAGCGCGGCGACAAAATCCTCCTGTGCCCCGTCCCCTTGTGTAGAGCCCCCCCTCCAGAACTTCTTACGCGCCTGAGGTGCCATCAGGGGCCCAATCGATTGCCCTCACCCCCGATTGTCTTACGAAACCGAACCCCCATTTGCAATCGAGACTCCGCCTCGCCAGGCAGAAACATCACGTATCCTGCACCGCGCGGCTCGGTCTCGGGCCCCCCAACACCGCCATTGCACGCGGAGGGGCGTTTTGGTCAAGGAGCTCTGTTCTACACGAGCCCTATGAGACCCCCATGGGAATCCCAGAAGGGTGCCAGCGTACCCCAGCAGGACTCCCAGAGGAGCCCGACAAGAGTCTGAAAGCTTCCGCCGGGGTCCCCCCTGGCAGCTGCATGAGTTCGTTTTGGGAGGCCGCCCGTCGGGGACACAGGTACCTGTGTACATACACACGTGTGCATGCTTGTGCACACTTGTGTTGAGGAGGTCCCTGGGGGTCTGTGTGTCGGGGGACGCTATGCCACCGTGAAGTGCTTATTCGTTGTTTAAGCTGCTGCTTCGCATCTTTAGCCCCTCAGTCAGGGAGGCAGGCCCCAGGGTTTCTTCGATATGTCCTTCATATCTGCTCGGGGTCTTTGAAGGTATTGTTCGGACCCCTTACAGTACAATGGTGCTTTCTGCATGTTCCTGTCATGTCCTCCCATGTTCTAACTGATCCGTTCGAAATCCTTGGTGATCTCTTCAGAGATCGTTCGTTACAGCTTTTCTGTCTTTCCACACTGCTTCGGGGCTAGGACTGGATTCTGCACCCGAGGGCGCCATAAACACTTGTGTCTGGACGTTTGTGATACATCGTATCGCCGACCAAAAAGTCGTATTCATTATGTGTGTTGCTAGACCAATATCATTGGGGAGTGCCTTAATTTGTTCTTAGGGGTGTTGAAGCCCTCCATCATCCCCTAGCTCCCTCTCCTCCCGCCCCCTCCTCCCGCCCTTTCCCCCATCGTCCCTCCTGCCACCCTCCCTCACCTCGCCTCCCTCCCCACTCTCCTCCTTCCTCCTCTCCTCTTTCCGTCTCCCCAGCGGCGCCCATTCCCTTGCAGTCCGCGTTCCGTCGCCCCGTCGCCCGTGCTGCCTCCCGATCCACGCCCGGGCGTACGGAAGATGTTGAGTCGGTCGTGATGCGGTGCCTTCTCGAATCAGAGGGTGGTAAAGCTTACCAGCCTGAAAGGTTTCCCTATCCGAACGATTGGCATCACATTATCCCGGTACCGAGCTTAAGGACCCCCTGCGTTTGTAAGGGACGCACCCCAGAGGTCGCCATCGCCTCAGGGCGTTTCAATTTCAAGGGTAAGGATCACCTCGGGGTTGGTTCAGATATTCCACCCTGCGGAGTGGATTTGCGAATTGCCCATCATCGTCATCGTCGTCGATAGAGCGTGGCGGTCGTATTCTTTTTGGAGCGGGGGCGGCGCCCGCCAGGGATGGTCCCGGGTCGAGTGTTTTGCAAAGGGCGTTGTGCAACACGGGCTTTGTCGTGTTCCTGCTCGTTAACAGTTGTCACGTGTGCGGCGCTACGCTGTCAATGCTGCGCTTTCCTGCGGCTTGGCTGTGTTCCTGCTCGCAACGCACATCGCCAGAGGGCGGCGGAGACCTTGAGGGATCCACCTGCCAAAAGTGCGGTTTTGTGGGTGCGGGGGTCGAGCCGAGTCGAGTTGAGTTTCACCCCCAGTTTGCTGCGAGGACTACCAGGAGGCCTGCGGCGACCGGAACCAGGAGGAGCCAGACGAGGACCCCCAGTCCCAGGCCGGGGCGCTTAAACTCAAGGCCAAGGCCGAGACGCTCGACGCGGAGGAGAGCTGCGCGAACTACGGCTGCGGCGGGGAGTACGACGAGGACCAGGCGTGCCAGTGCACCGCGGACTGCGCGGACTACCACAATTGCTGCCCCGACCTCAGTGTCTGCTGATCACGCGGTCGGCGATCACACATCGCAGTGATCGGGGGGTCACGTGATCGCCGCTCACGTTATCGCTTCGGCTTGATCACGCGATCGTCCGAGCTGGAATGCGTGATCGATCCGTGATCGGCGAGGTAGCCATCGTGATCGGGGCTGCGATCAGGTCACGTGATCAGGTGGTGGATCGGCCCAGTGATCAACCAGACTCTAAGGCCCCGACATGGAGGACGAGTGCAAGGGTGTCCTGGGCACTGCCGCAGCTGCTTCCACCACCGACGCCGGCGGCGCCTCCACGACCGCCGCCCCGGCGACGACCACCGTCGCCACGCACGCGGGCCAAGACGCCGTGAGCACGAGCTCTGCGCCTTTGAAGGACGAGGGCGCCGCCGCCACCGCCAGTGCGGACGCGGACAAGGGCGAGGACGAGGACGAGGACGCGGGCGCCGATGCCAACGCGGACCCGCAGCAGCCTGCCCCTGGCCCTCGGGCGCAGACCTTCTACATGTACCGCGCGCAGAGCGAGGCTCACGAGCGGCGAACGTAGCTACAGCCACGCCCTCAGGGTCTGGACTCCATGGCGCTATCGCGTGGATACGCGGTCGCATGGATACGTTCCGCGCGGGCGTCCACGAAACAGCGCCCCAGAGCCTCGGGTTTGCCGTCTGGGGGCCCCTCCCGCGAGGCAGTGGATGCCAGGAAGCTTTCCGCCCACGAGAGGCCACGTACCCTCTGGAGAATATCAACACCGCGGACCTGGCTGGGGTGCTGTGGTACCTCCATAACGAGGTGATCGTGGCGCGGCCGCGAAAGTACAAGATCGACCGCATCAAGCGATACAAGGCCGCGGGCTCAGGGTCGAGGGCCCGCAGGCGGCATAATCGCAGAGGTCCAGGCAGATGTCTCGAGACAGCGCTGTACCCCTCGGTAGTCGCTTTTTTATTCGTTGCTTTGCCGATCTGCGCGGGCCCCCGCCCCCCCCCCCTGGAGTGGATCCTGGCTGTTTTTGGTGCCTGCTTCGAGGAGGTGCAGCCTCCCCTCAAAGGACGCACTCGCAAACAGTCGCAGCAAGCAGAGGTCTGGAGCCAGAACCCCCCCCCCCTTCCGCCCAATGTCGAAACGCCGAGCAAGAAAACGTTGACTACTGCCTCCCCGGCGGCACGGCGCCTCCGCCGCCGCCTCCAGCCAGCGCGCGGAGCGTGCAGGGGGGGGGACCGCCGCTCCGAGAAGTTCGCGCGGAGGTCCGAAAGCTTAGCCACGTTCCGTGGCGTCGCTCGGACGTGTACATTTTTCCAGCGAGGGCCATCGAGGAGCATCCTGCATCATCTCGCGGAAAATCAGCCCACGGAGCCGAACATGCGCGGCGAATCGAGGGCCGACCGATGGAAGGTGTTCATGCGGTTCCATTGTTTCCTGTCTGCGAAGCCCTGGTCCTCGGAGGGAGGAGCGGTCTCGGTGGGCCACACTTGGGGAGAGAGCTCCAAGCGGGCGACGAGCATTACGGGGGTCGACTGCCCCGTCATGCGCGCGCAAGCTGCCCGCGAAAGGTTGCGCATGTGCTCCCTCATCCAGTCTTGGGCGCCCCACGTCAGCGGCTTGCGTAAGCCACCGCATAAGCTCGCTGTGTCATCCGTCGCTCAAACGTGGATTCAAGTTCTCCCTCGCAATCGTGATTTGGTGGCGCGCACAAGGGGCTGGCGCAAGGGGGGCTGGCCTCCTGAGAAGGCGGGAGTCTTCTCATGATTTTGTTCGTTCCCAGATTCTCTCGTGTCCGGGTGCCACCTTCTCGAAGTGGAGCCGCCCAGTCAGGCAGTAGCTTCCTGTTTCCTCCCTGCCTTGCTCCTGCGTGCGTGCTGGCAGGAGGGATCACCATAGCCATTCTGACTCAGGCCAGCCTGAAAAGGCGACGTGGCCGCCGAAAGCTCACCCACAGCGTTTGAGAAAACGAGCTGTCCCAATCTCAAGTTTGAGATCGTCAATCGCTGCATTGAGGGATTCAAAGGAAGGTATTGATACCGCTACTCCCAGGACCTCTCCTGGGGAGCGTTCTGACCAGAAGTTCGAGGCGAATCCAGCGGTGGCGACGAGGGCCTCCTAGGAGGCCCCAAAAAAGGGAAAACGGGGGAAGGCTAGAGGTATGGGTATCTTTTCTTCCTCTGATGCGCTGTCCCTTTCCTGCTGGGAGGCCCCTGGCCTTCTCGCTAAGGCTGCCCCCCAATCCGCGCCAACCCTCCCCGCACGCGCCGCCAAGTGGCCGGCGGGCGATCGGACCCCGATCGGCCAGGGCCACACTCGACGCTCGGGGGGCGGATTGGGGCGTCCCGGGTCGGGCGGCCCGCCGCGAGGGACGGTTGATGGGCAAACTACTGCGCTTTTTTCAAGATTTGTGTTCGCCCCCCGCGCCCCCAATTTAATGTTGGCAGGCCGTGGCGCGATTTGTCGATCCGCCGACTGGCCTCAATCCTGAACCCCGCGGGCTCGGCCAATTAGCATTGAATTGGGGGCAGGGGGGCGAGTGGAAGTTTGCGCCGTCGCCCCGGTTGCGCGGCTGGTGCAGGATCTTGTCCAGCAACCGGAGGGCAGGGAGTGAGGCTTCTCGCCTCGCTGAGGCCCTGGCGCAGTCCTTTTTTCCAACGGTGGGCGGTCTTGCCTTTCTCGGCGCCCCGGGGTCCTCGCAAGTGGATCCGGCGCGTGAGAAGTCTCCCACCTCCACCTTCCATACCTTCCGATCTCCGCCGAAGGTGCCCAAGAATGCATCGAAATGCATGGAAACCTTACGTAATTCAAGCAAACGCACGTATACATCATATAGAAAAAGAGGCGGAAGCTTAGGGCGGAAGGTCCGGAAGAAGAAGGGGGAGGGAATGGAGCAGGACATTGGGGTCTACAGGGCTCCGGTCGTGATCTTCTGCGATGTTGCAGCTATTGTCTTGGTTTTGCTTGCAGGGGGGGCAGCCCTCCGGTTTCGCCCCAGGACGGTCCAAGAGACCCCCAAGAGAGCCTATAGACGGCCTGGGTGGCCCCAAGACTGCCCAAGGAAGCCCCAACTGAGCCAAAAAGAGGCCCAACAGGCCCTAGAGACCCAAGACAGCACCAGAGCGCTCCAAGAAGGACCTAGAGGGCCTCCAGAGGTCCCCTAGACAGCCCAGGAGGCCCTCAACAGGGCTCCCAGAACGTAGAAATCGCTTTATTGCCCTCGGGAAACTTACCTGTTCAGCACATTCGTTGTTCGGGTCTGAGCAGCGTCCAGAACAGCCAAGAAGGCCTCCAGTATCGCCCCAAGACGGCCCCAGAGACTCCCAAGAGAGCCTCTAGACGGCCTGGACGGCCCCAAGACTGCCCAAGGAAGCCCCAACTGAGCCAAAGAGATGCCCAACAGGCCTTCACAAGGCTCCCAATAGAAGGCCAAGAAGGCTCAAGGTCCGACCAGCCTCCGTCGGTAGTCGGGGAGAAGGCGGTGGCCTGCTGCTGCCTCGCGCTGGATAGTCATGTCGCCGGGCGGGGCGGCGCTCGCCGGCGCGGACACGGGCGCGGAGCCGCACGGCGCGGGCAAGTTCCGGCTGTTCGTCTCGACGCGCAAGACGTTCCTCCACGCGGAGGTGATCCCGGTGGCCGGGCGCACTCTCGCCCGCGCGAGCTCCCACCCCTGCCTCGCGGACCGCTACGGCGGGCTGCGGCTGGAGCTGCCGCAGCCCGCCCGGGGCGCCCGAGGGGGGGCCGCGTCGGGCCGCGCGCCGCCCGCGGAGGCCGCACGGGCCGACGCGGGCTCCCAATGCGCGGCGGCGGCCCCGCCTGCACCGCCGCTGGGCGCCGAGTGGCGGGAGCCCGCGCGCGAGGGCGCCGGCGACGCCAGCGGCGCCGGGCCCTCGGGATTCGTGGCGGCCGCGGGCGCGCCGGAGGCGACGCTGGCAGAAGGCGCGCCCTTGGCCGTCGTCCTGCAGAACATCCCGGCCCGGTGCGGAGCCGAGGACATCATCCAGCTCGTCCGGGATTCGGGCTTCCGCAGGAAGTTCGACTTCATGCACATGCCCATGAAGCGGAACAGGCACCAGAACAAGGGATATGTTTTCGTCAATTTCTCGGACGCCACCGACGCCATCGATTTCCAGCGCGTGGTGAGTGGCATGAAATTCAGCAGGCGCGACAGCAGTAAGGCAGTAGTTGTGCAAGCTGCAAGGGCTCGGCACTCAACGGCGCAGCTCACCATCGCTGGCGATGACGAGATAATCCAGAGTCCGTGGGGAGCGATTCATGTCCCGAAACATGAGCCTACCGAGGAGAACGATTTCACCGGCCGCATCTGACTCGGATGTTTGTTTCGCGCTCAACGTGTGCGCTCAGCGCATCTTAGCTGCGCTTCTGCAGGCTTATGAAGGGTACATCTCCGACAGCATGTTATTAATTTAGTTGGTGTGTCGCCTACTCAGTTACTGCAGAGATTTCGAGGTGTTCATTGGTCTCATAAGTTGTTGCACTAGCCGTCGGAATCAATATTTTGCGCGTCCGCTTTCGGGAAAATGGAGGTTGGCTGCCGCCAGCCTGTTCATATTCCCACATGCTGCGGACTTCTCTGCATGCAGCTACTCTCCTACTGCCATGGCGGTGCGGACGTGGGCAAGGCACTTGGCAGCATTTTGCCAATATTATCCCTTCTGATGCTTGCTTGCATCCTGAATCTGCCAGGTGCGCCTGGGATGCGGTGCCTGCTCACAGGCAAAAGTTTTGACGACTGGATTGTTTTGGGACGCTGGCCATCTGCTGTTCTTGACCTCTGCATATGGACTCGCTCATCCTGAGGCGTTTCCTGGGGGGCCAGAAACGGTAGAGGAGGGAGGGAGGGGGGCGAATTGTATTGAAAAATCTAGCGCGATGGTCCTGGTCGTCGGAGGTCTGGGCCATTCGATGAGGACTGGCTGTAGCCGATCGCCTTATTTTGATGGCATGTGTGAAGTCGGGCATGTCCCTCAATAGGAGTAATATTCAAATATATTTGTCTATTTTTCATTGTTCGTCCATGAATCCGCCTGTGGGGGGACACGCCCGACCTAAGGATTGTGGCGCTCAGCTGGTAGGTTTTATGTGAGTGCCGGCCTACCAATGCTATTGGTTGCACATATGGGCAGCTCCACGCAGTGAATATATGTTTTGCCCCCGCGCCTTTCTGGCGGTGTGACTTCTTGAGTGTAAGCGCGCTGCAACTGCCACGCGCCCACTCCACTTGTCGGCTGGCAAACCTTGCCACTCGCAACGGTGCTGACCGCGTCGCGTAGTTAAATACAACATTTGTTGCCTGCAGTTGCTATGCGCGTGGTCATTGCGTTGATGTTTCACTACCGCCAGCGATGGTCTCCGAGTCGCTGGGCGCTTGCTTTGACAAAGGATGCACGACATTCGCCAGTCCAATGTCCTTCTATGAAAATAAAAGCGAAGCCCAAGAAGGCCATGGGAGGCCCTCCAAAAGGTAATGGGAGGCCAACAGGAGGGCCGACGTACACGGCCCAAGATGGCTCCAAGACGGCTCGAGACGGCCCCAAGCCGGCCGGCCCACCAGGACTCCAACAAGGCCCACACGTTGTTTTCCACCAAATTGACCCCAAGTCCGGGCTCGCAACCACAAATCCCGGAAACCTGTTGCGAACCAGGGTCGGGTGCATTTTCCAAGAATTACTTGCGTTCGCGTGCCCCGTTGCGGCCCGCTGCAACCCGCTGCAACATTCTTCGCCGTCCCCCGACGGCGCCCTCCTCCTCCTCCTCCTCGTCTTTTTGCTGCCGGTCCACCACTCGTCCTCCCCCACATCCGCTTCCTTTCCTCGCTCTCCGAGATCGTTCGCCCTCCACCCGGCGCCTTTCGGGAGCCCCCAGAGGCCCGGGAAGGGCCATGGACCGCCCGAATGTTCGAAGATTTTTGAAAACCACCGCAGGGAAGGGGCCAAATTTCCAAAGCCACTAGGGACAGTGCGAAGGACCAACATATGCAAAGCCTCAAGGACCAAGTTGCATGACGCGAAGCGCCCATGCAGTCTTGTGTATCTATATTTGTATATATAGACATTGCCCATATAGCTTGCACCACATATGTTCTACATGGGAGTTCAAAGGTCACGGTAAAGAACACCTGGGAGTTTTGGAACGCGCACAAGCGCCAGTTCAGCGCCTTCGTCGCCTACGACGCCGCCCGCTGCTCGACGCCCGTCTGCAAGGACATCTACAACCAGTACGGCTTCATTGTCGGCTGCCAGACTCAGGCCGTCTTGCTCTTCCTCTCCGTCGTCCTCCTGCTTTCCCACCTCCCTCGACCTCCTCCTCCCTCCTCCTGCTCCTCCTCCTCATCATCATCAGCAGCAGCATCATCAGCATCATCAGCATCATCAGCATCATCAGCATCATCATCACCACCATCATCATCATCGTCATCATCACCATCACCATCACCATCATGATGATGATCATCATCATCATCATCATCATCATCATCATCATCATCATCATCATCATCATCATCATCATCATCATCATCATCATCATCATCATCATCATCATCATCCGTAGCCATTTTGGCTCAAGGAGCCACGCCGGTGTGGCAGCGGTTTCCCCGTTCGAACTTCGCGCTGTTCGGGCTGTTCCTTCCTCAGTTGGCCCGGTCGAGCCCCGCGCTGTTCGGGCATTCATGGCAGTCGCGGCGCTGGACGCTGCTGCCGCTCTGGCGCCGCTGGTTCGAGCGGCAGCCGGAGGCGCGGCAGCAGCATCGCGGCCGCCGTGGCCGCCGCGGCGCGCGTCGGTGCTGAGCTGATCGGGGGCTGGGCTGCAGATGGAGCTGGCGATGAGGAGGACGCCGAGCTCACCCTGCGGCTTCGGGCCATCAGGCCAGCCCTGGCGCGCCTGATCCGCGGCGAGAGGGTTTCGGGCGCCGAGTGGGCGATTGGGACCTCGGGGCCCACGCCTTCCTCGGTGAAGGCGCCGAGGTCCTCGAGGCCGCGCTCGAGCGGCCGCAAGCCAGCCAGCGCCGTGGGTGGTCTGGCGCCCTCGCCCCAACGGGTATGGGGGCTCTCAGCCGTCCTCCCCCTGAGGCGGGATGGCGTCCCAGCCTGGAGGCGAGGCGCCGCAGCATGGCGCCGCCCACAGACGAGTGCGGCTACAACGGCGATGCGGAGAACGACGATGACGGGCACCAGCAGCACGTGGACGAGCAGTAGCGCGTGCAGCTGCGCAACCAGTACGAGATCACGTACGGCGTCGGCGACGACGATCTCGAGGGCTACGACAGCGATCGCGGGCCCGATGAGGTCAGGTTCGGGTCCAAGCCTGAGCTCGGCGAGTGCGCTGGCGACGGAGCGCAGGACGATGATTCCAGGCACGTCGACGACGACGCCCTCGGCGACGCCTGCACGGGCGAGGACGGTCTCGGCTCGGGCGAGGTGCAGCCGCCCCTCGGCACCCGGCACGACGAGCCGAGCGATGTGCAGGACGAGGGCGAGTACGAGGAGTGCACGGACGCGAGCCTGGGCGCTGGCGTTGGCGCGGCGTCGAGCCCCGCCAAACCAGCGTCGGTCAGGCGGCGGCGGAGGCGCTGCCGTCGCCCCACGCGGGAAGGACCGACAGCGTCGGCCGCCGTGCCGGCGAGCGCACTGGCACTCAAGGCGACGGAGGCAGCCGAGCCCGCCGCGTGCACAGCATGGAGAACGGCTGCGAGGCGAGGGAGGGCCGCGACCCGCGGCACTGCCTTCGTCTTGGCGGATCGTGTGCGGTCGGCGCCTGAGGCGGTTCCTCCACCCCTCGCCTCTGGGGCGCAGTGGTCCCAGTGGAGGCTCGAGGAGCTCGGGCGGGATGGCGGCCCGAAGGCACCCAGCACCTGCCCGCCGACCACGACGCTGAAGGGGGTGGAGTGCGAGAGGGACTCGGCCGGTGATGATGAGGCTGCAGATGATGAGCCTCTTGGCAGCGACCCGTCGGAGTACGCTGTCAAGCACGACGGGCGCATGCAGCCAGGTGTTGCACAGCAGGACCTCCAGGAGAAGGTCGGTATCGGCTCCGCGGGCCCCACGAGGGAGGTGCGCTTTGAGGAGGGGTGCACGTGGGCGGACTCCCAGCAGGTCCAGGAGCAGGAGTCGGAGGCCCAGGACAAGGCTGCATCGGAGCCCGCTCTCGCCGAGACGCCGATGCGCGTGGGCGCGACGCGCGTGGACGCCCGGGCGGTCACCGAGCAGCAGTCCGACGTCAACCGGCAGCGCGACTCCGAGCAGCCCGAGGAGCAGCAGCAGTTCCCTTCGGAGCGGGAGGAGCTCGTGGCGCTGCGGGCCAGATACAACGGGCTGATGGCTGGGGTTCGCGCCGCCTTCGGCGCCAAGCTGCGCGCAGCCCGCGAGGCGCGCGGCAGGCGCTGACGGGCGCGATCTGTCCCGACAACTTTCTCACATTTCTTCTGCCGCGCTCGCGCGGCATCTGCCTTAATGTAGTCGTGGCACCCTGCGGCTTGGAACTCATCGGTCTGCCGAGCTCGGTGCCGTGTGCTCGTGGCGCCAGGCGGGTCCGAGGACCGCGAATGCCTGCGACGAGCTCGGGGGGAGGGACCCCGTGGCGCAGGCCGTACCCCTCGGGGCTCGGCACACGTCAGGGTTCACTCACTCCTGCCCCTCCTGGGCTCGCTGCGCTGCTCTGTCCATGCCGTTTGGCACGTCAAGTGGCGCTTGCGTTCTGCAGCTCTGCTGCGTACCAGCCCGCCTGTCTTGTGCACTGTTCTCGCGCCAGGGCGGAGGCCGAACCGCGGGGGCAGGTGGCTTGCTACCGACTCTCTGGATCGCCTCCGAACGCAATCGCAGAGCAAGGTTGTCAAGTGGGCGGCCAGTAGCCTTGGGGACTGTGTTGCTCTGCTTTGGCGCGTGTGTGCTGCTGTGGCGGGCTTTGTCGCCGTGACTGCTCGGATGCCGTACTGCCGCTTGCTTCGGCTGGTGCGGTGGGCGGCCTTTTTGGCACCCAGGTGAATCTGAGAGGGTGTGCTGAGGCGCACGAGACCGAGCGTTGCCGTCGCAGAGCCAGAGGGAAACGCTTCGGTCCGAGGGGCAGTACGAGCTAGAAGCTCCTGACTTCTTTAGGCGCGTGGATCATCATCATCATCAGCATCATCACCATCATCATCATCATCATCATCATCATCACCATCATCATCATCATCACCCTCCTCCTCCTAGTCCTCCTTTTCTGCCTCCCTAGACCTCCTCCTCACCGCCCTCCTCCTCCTCCTCCTCCTCCTCCTCCTCCTCCTCCTACTCTTCCTCCTCCTCCTACCCATCCTCCTTGTCCTTGAACGCCTCTTCCTCGGGCCCTACCCCTCCACACCTTCCGCGCGGCAGATGCCGCGCCGGAGACCCGGAGGGCGGGCTCTCACGGCGGACCTCGAGGCTCCAGTGTTCCCCGTCGCCCTCTCTCGGGGCGGACGATCGTGGGGGCCGCTCTGGCTTGTGGGCAGAGCAGCTACTGAAAGCAAACAAAAGCATCAACATAAACTTTTGGCGCTCCGCGCAGATTTTTCGGATCCGCGTCGGAAGCCCCCTGGCGGCGCCTCCGGCGCCGCCCCTGGCGCGCTCCGCGCGCCAGGGAGGGGCGCGCCAGGGAGGGGGGCACAGCGCGGATCCAAGAATTCCGCGCGGAGCGCCAAATGTTGAAGCTTCTGTTTAAACATAGTCTTCTAGGCAGAGGGAGGTGGATGGGGAGGAGGAGGAGGGGGAGAGGGAGGGGGAGGAGGAGGAGGAGGAGGAGGAGAGGAGGAGGAGGAGGAGGAGGAGGAGGAGGAGGAGGAGGAGGCGCATACGTGTGCCTCTTCCTGGTGCTCTCGGCGCTGGGGAGGATGGCGTGCGACGTGGCCAGGCAGGCGGGGCGGCCCTCCCGCTCGGCCCACGCCCTGGCGTGTGCTGGGTGTTGAGTGTACCGGACCACCAGCTCGAGGCTTGCCTCTTGCTGGTGGCGTGCGGTCCGCGCGTCCTCCTCCACCTCCTCCGCCTCCTCGGCCTCTTCCTCCTCCTCCTCCTCCTCCTACTCCTCCTCCTCGGGTCGCCTACGGCCCCGGGGGGCATCGTGCACTTGCGTCTAGCCGACTCTCGTCCGACCCGAGGGGGTCGAGGTTCGGGGTTCGAGGCGGAAGTTTCGTTTCGAAGCCTCCAGGGGTGTCGCGGCGCCCACGGCAGGGCGGGCCGAGGGCGGTCGAGGTTCCCGGGCCCCCGACATCATACATTCTCATACCATGACACCCCGGGGGTCTGGACCTCTTCCCAGGGACCGGCTTCTCACCCCGGGTGGTTGTTTTTGACACCCCCGAGGACTAGCAGGTTTCCCCCCCCCAGAGGCCGAAGACAGCGAAGACCGGCCGTCACGATTCCTCCACGGCGCGAGGGGCTCCAACTCCTAGGTAGGGTCGCGTTGGGATAACTTTAGGGTTGGTGCTGATACGCAAAGCGTCAATAATGAAAATCTACCATCGCACCCGTGTTGATGATAGTTTGAATGGGGCGAGCTGACAGCCCACCAAAGTGACCCACCTAGATAACAGCGAGCTGAACGCCCACCAATGTAGCAATGATGCGCCTAGATCAACGCGCTAGTGTAAAAACCGAATGGGTCGAAACAAAAACCGATTGTCGTGAAACTTCCTTCTGGGGTCGTTCGCCCGGGCCCCCTCGCCTCAGGACCTGAACGTGGCCGCCTACCTGGCGCCCAACCAGACCAGCTGGAACTGCGAGAAGGGCTCGGACGAGTGCCGCCCCCCGGTGTGGTACTCGCTCCCGGGCCCGTGCCCGGCCCAGGGCATGGACAACGGCAGGACTCCCGGGTGCGGGCGGAGGTCTGCCCCGCGCAGGGGGCCCAGACCCCCTCGGGGAATGAAAAAATCACGACGGGAGGTTTTTCGTTGTTTTTGGCCTCTGGGGGCCCTCACCGGCCCTCGGGAGCGTCAAAAAACGACTCAGGACGAAGAACCGGTCCCGGGGAAAGGGTCCAGACCGCTGGGGGGCGACGTCATGAAAAATTCATGACGTCGGGGGTCTGGGGGGGAGGGGCGGGGGCGGGGGGGGAGGGGCGAGGGCTTCTGAGAGGCACCCCTGCTGCTCGGGAGACGCAAGAGCCGTGCCTGTGCTTCCATGCAGGGCCCGCGCCTTCTGAGAAGCAGCCTCCTGCGAGGAAGCCCCCCACCTCCCCCCCTTTGTGCCTTTGTGCCTGCCGCCAAGAAGTCCCCATGAACCCCGAGATCCTGGCGTCGCAGTTTTCTCACTCCGACCGTTCTTGACGTGTTTCTGGCCGATTGTTTCACTCGGACGGTTCTTGATTTGTTTCGGTCTTGGGCTCTGGTCACGTTGTTGTTCGATGTGTTGCGATGCTTCGGGGAAGGAGAAGGGTCCTGAGGGTAACCCTATGCCAGTCAGATGGGGAGTAGTCTGGGACCCAGGGGGAAATTTGTTTCACAGAGATATCGATGTTAGGATGTCTGGATCGATCTTCAAGATCGGTCTTCAAGAGCCTCCGTGATCCTTGTAGATGGCCTGTGTGGAGATGTGGGAAGAGCATTACTCCTGTGACATTATGTTGTGAAATTGTAGATTGGTCCCTTTCGGGGAGCCTCTCTGTAGATGTGGGGATCATCACGACTCCTGTGAATCAGTATGGTTACATGGTACATTGGGTTTTGCTTGAGACATCATTGACAAATTGTTAGTAACGAATTATGCGAATATTCGGAACGTTGCGTTTCGCCTGAGACATCCTCCTCACAAAATGGATGATGGGGATTATGCATGGTGCTATCTATGCATGAGATGAAGATCAGAGCTACGGTCGGAATTTTGGAGGGGATATTGAAGTTCGGCCTCCCCGCCCTCTGTGTCAATGTGAACCACATTCAATCCCGTGGATAAGCAGATACAGAGGATAAGGAGGGGATGCTGTATAATCCGAGGGATGGGGTCCACGGGTTCTGGAGGTTTCCCATCCTTTTCGGCCCAGGGGGCCGCCACAAAAAGCGCCCCTGGATCAACAGCAAGGAGCGGGCCAGGACGCGTTTCCCTCAGGACCCGCTCCTCCATGCCCACAGACCAGTGGGTCGGCAGGCTCGGGGGGGGGGGGGGCTACGCACATGCTTGAGCTGAGCCCGGCTCCGCCGCCAGGCGCCCTCCTCGGCACACGGCCGCCTCCGGCACGCCTCGGCGCCTGGCAGGCCAGCAAGCAACCCAGACCCCCGACGTCATGATTATTTTTTCATTACGTCGACCCCCAGAGGTCCCGACCCTTTCGCCATGACCGGTTTTTCGTCCTGAGTCGTTTTTTGACGCTCCCGAGGCCCGGTGAGGGCCCCCGGAGGTCGAAAATTAGGAAAAACCTCCCGTTATGATTTTTTCACGACTCGAGGGGGTCTGGGAAGCAAGCCGCTGCCCCGCGCTCCCCCTCCAGTGGGCCGGGAGGCGGCGATCGGCAGGCGCCGGAGAGCCGGGCCGTCTCTCTCCGGCCCTCCGGCTCCTGCTCGCAGCGCGTCTCCTCGGGGCTCCCGGCGCCCCCGCGCTGCCCTCGCAGGGCCGGCCCCGACGGGCGGACATCGCGCGCGCCTCGAGTTATGAAAAAATCACGGCGGGAGTCTCCTAATTTTCGGCCTCCGGGGGCCCTCACCGGCCCTCGGGAGGGTCAAAAAACGACTCAGGATGCAAAGCCGGTCATGGGGAAAGGGTCGGGACTTCAGGGGTCGACGTAATGAAAAAATCATGACGTCGGGGGTCTGGGCTCGCAGGGCCGGCCCCGACGGACGGACATCGCGCGCGCGCGCTCGCTCGCTGGTCCAGGGCGGCCTGACCGAGCCCTGGCAAGCCATCCCCATCCCCTTCTGTGACGTCCCCCTCGCCTCGCCCCAAGACGTAACTGTACGGCCGGAGGGGAGCTCGAAAGGCGGGGAGGACGTCACGGAAGGGGATAGCTTGCTAGGGGCCTTTTAGGCCGCGCCCACACTCGCCCCTCTTGACCACCCCCCCTCCCTGCGGGCAAGATTCATATCCATCTCCAGTGCGTCATGGACTTTCTTGGAAGGGGCGCCACGAGGCCGAGGCGCACTGGATATCGATACAACTCGAACCCTTGGGGGCCAGATGTTTGTCCATATCCAGTGCGCCTCGGCTTTCTGGGGAAGGGAGCCGAGACTTCAAGCTGCAGTGGATGTGGACACGAGTCTTGCCCGCATTTTCGTCCCTTGCCGAGGATTGACCCCAACAAGGTCGGCCTGGACGTGAGCGCCTTCAAGTCTAAGGAGTGCATCAAGAAGATGCCCGGTGGCCGCTGCGACAAGGCGAGTGGCGCCCCAGACTGCACCTACAGCTACGAGGAGGCCGGGGAGATCATGCTGGACGAGCTCGCCGGCATCGACGACTACGACAATTTCTGGAACTACTCCTACGTCAACTGCTTGCGGGACAAGTCGGAGGTGGATAGACCTCCTACCCTGACACGTCGATTAAGGAATTGGCCGTTTTCGGTTCGCGAGAGGGCGTCGCGGCCGTCATTTTTGCGGGTCCAGGTCCGTCGGTTTCGGTCCCAGGCCGTTTTCACTAAGGGGAGGTTTACTAAAGGGAGGTTTGTCCTCCGCTGAACAGGTCCCAGCACAAGCTGAGCGAAGATGAGCCCTGTATCCAGAACAAGGAGTACGACGTGAAGCTGGACAAGGGAGTCGGGACGAAGTTCTGGGACGGCAAGCTCGACAAGAAGAAGTGTGAGGCACGCATGGAGTCGGCACGGCAGCTATTCAAAAAGCACTTTCCGGAGTTCCCGGCGGACTATGACGAGCCAGCTTGCGAGTTCGACATGTATTACGAGAATGAATTCACATGGGGCATCAACCACACAGGTGCTGAGCCCTCCTCCTGGTGGGACAACAAAATGGCTGTCTCGGAATTCGATGCGCCCGCGGCGCCGAAGTAGCACCGTCCCGCCTGTCTCCCAGCCCTGCCTCACGACGCACCTCTCCTCACATCCGACGTCGTGACAATAACCACGCGACGAAGCGCAATTTCAAGATTATGCGTGCGAGGAGAGTTCTTGAGCCGCATCGATCCGTCAGGGTGCCATGGCCCGAAGCAGAGCAGAAAGGCCTGTTGCAATCCTGCTCACGACGCCCAGATGTGTTGGTGAGTCAACGCTGGCAGTTGACCCATGTACGATGTACACTGATTTGCAGTCGTGGCCCCGAGGAGTCGTGGCGCGCAGAAGGGGCTAGCGGGAGAATGGCGACCTTCTGAGGAGGTTGGGGGTTTCTTAGGATGTATGGGCTTTGGTAGAAGTGCCTGGATGCTTCTGACAGGGCTCCCTAGGAGCTGGGATGGCTTCTAAGAAGCCACCTGCCTTCTCAGAAGCTCCCCTGCCTTCTTAGAAGGCTGCCCCCCTCGCGCCACCCCCGTGTCCCTGCCGCCAAGCGGGCCCATTGGAGCCTCAGATACGGATCCCTTCTCTTCCTCCGAAGCCGGGCAGCATATCCATGTGCAGCGCTCCGCCAGATCCTCGGGGACGCGTCTCCAAATCGGTAGAACTCCCAGCGCGGAGTCGGCGCTCTCCCCCCCCTCCCTGACCGCTGCAATTCGCACGATGCCCTGCAAGCTTAGCTGCGACGCGCCGGCCACGGCGGTGCCGCCAGGCCCGGCGCGCCCACCCCGATCCGGAGGCCCGGTGGCCCGTGCTCGGGCTGCATGCCTCTCACGCCAATTGCCGCGTCCCGTGTGGGATCGAAAGCGTGGGGCACAGAGGGGTATGAGGAGGGAGGGGGAGGAGGAGAGGAGGTGAGCGAGAGTAAAGAGAGGAGGAGGAGGAGGAGGAGGAGGAGGAGGAGGAGGAGGAGGAGGAGGCGGAGGAGGAGGAGGAGGAGGAGGAGGGAGGCGGAGGGGGAGGCGGAGGCGGGGCGGAAGGCGGAGGCGGAGGCGGAGGGGGAGGGGGAGGGAGGGGGAGGGGGAGGGGGAGGGGTCGGGGCCGGGGGGGGGGGGGAGGGGGAGGGGAGGAGGAGGAGGAGGAGGAGGAGGAGAAGGAGGAGGAGGAGGAGGAGGAGGAGGAGGAGAAGGAGGGAGGGGCAAGAGGATAAGGGGGTGGAGGAGGAGGAGCAGAATGAGGAGATTCACTGGACCACTGGGGACACTCCCCCAACCCAAACTGCCACTTTTTCTCCTCCCTCCCTCCGACCATATCCTCCTCCTTCCTCTTCCTCCTCCTCCTACTTATCCTCCCTTTTCCTCTTCATGCTCTCCCGCTTTCTCCCCACTGGATTCTACCTCTTCGAAGCAGGCAGTGCTCCCAGTCTCCCCCTTCCCGTCTCTCTTGTTATCTCCTCCTCCTCTCCCTAACCCTTCGGCCGTGTGTGTCCTGTCTCCCTGAGTCTCCTCGCTCCGATGGGCGGGGGAAATTCAGGGAGACAGGAAGGGGAGGAAGAGGGATGGGGAGGAGGAGATACAGTCAGCCCGCATTGTAAGGATGGGCAATCTTCCCAAGGGTAACCTTGTATCCTTGCCTCCTCGGTCCATCCTTCGCCGCTTTCGCTGGCCGCGCCCCGCTCGAAAAGCTTCGAAATGGGCGTCCAAGGCCCTTGCATCCTCATCGCGCATCCTTACTAGACTGGTTGACTGTGGAATCTCCTCCTCCTAACCCACTCGGGACGGATTCTCAGACCCTCCCTGGCACCATCCTGACCAGCCTCTGGGGCCACTGCCAGCCGCGGCCGCGACGAGCGCCCCGCGCGAGGGGCCATCCACAAAGCCTGCAGCGCGTCAGACCTCCACCGCGGCGTCGAGGACGATGACGGCGATGACGACGCCAACGGCGACGGTGGAGGGGGAGGGGGAGGAGGAGGAGGAAGAGGAGGCGAAAGGAGAAGGAGGAGGAAGAGGAGGAGGAGGAGGAGGAGGCGGAGGATGAGGAGGATGAGGAGGGAGAGGGGGGGCGAGAGGAGGAGGAGGAGGAGGAGGAGGAGGAGGAGGGGGCGGAGGAGGACGAGGAGGAGGACGAGGAGGAAGAGAACGAGGACGACGGCGACGACTTGGACGGCGACGATGGCGGCGACGGTGGCGGCCGCAACGACGACGAGGTCCCGAGAGCGGTGCGGGCAGGAGACGCTCGCCAGACTCAGAGAGGCCTTCCTGGACGCCACCGAGGACATCCCTCTCCCTTCCCCCGCCTCCGCCACCCTGATCCCTGCCCTGGCCCGGGAGGCGGGGGGAAGGAGGAGGGAGGACAACGAGCAGGAGGATAGGGGGATGATGAGGATGAGGGGGATGACGAGGTGGGCGGAGGAGGAGGAGGAGGAGGAGGAGGAGGAGGAGGAGGAGGAGGAGGAGGAGCGAGGAGGAGCGAGAGGAGGAGGAGGAGCGAGGAGCGAGGAGCGAGCGAGAAGAAGGAGGAGGATGAGGAGGAGAAGGAGCAGGAGAAGGAGGAGACGGGTGAGGAGAAGGAGGAGGTCAGGAGAGGTATTGATTGAAGGGAGGAGAAGGAGGAGGAGGAGGAGGAGCGGAGGGGGGAGGAGGAGGAGGAGGAGGAGGAGGAGGAGGAGGAGGAGGAGGGGAGGAGGATGGAGGAGGATGGAGGAGGAGGAGGAGGAGGAGGAGGAGGAGGAGGAGGAGGAGGAGGAGGAGGAGGAGGAGTTGGAGGAGGAGGAGTTGGAGGAGGAGGAGGAGGAGGAGGAGGAGGAGGAGGAGGAGGAGAGGAGGGAGGAGGGAGGAAGGAGGAGGAGGGAGGAGGAGAAATAGGAGGAGGGGCTCTCCCTCTTCAAGAGCTGCTTCCAGGGGTAGGAGGAGGCATTGGTCACCCTCCCCCTGGAGACTGGCTTGGCGCATCATGCGTCCCTCTATGGCCATTCGTATTTCTAGTGCATTTTGTTCGCCCCTCCCCCTGGCGGCGAAGGCACTTGTTTGGGACCCCTGGAGACATCAGGGGAAGGAGGAGAATCGCAGGCACCGGCAAGGAGCACGCACCCTCTGCACATAGCACGGGCAATCGTTGCTCAGCGCCTGAGCCCGAAACCTACACGGCCAGTGGGGTATCCACCATCGTGAGCGAGCCCAACGGGACAAGGAGTTTTGCTCGGCGGCTTACTGTCCGGACGGTCTGCTCCGCGTGTCGCGCCGCCGGTCCTAGCCCACCACGCTGCGGCGCGCCTCCTATTAAACCCTACGCCCTAAGCCCTAGCCCCTACGCCCTAAACCCTAACCCCTACGCCCTGAGCCCTATCCCACAGACCCTGAGCCCTGACCTCCAGACCCTGCAGGCCCTAAGCCCGAATCTACAGACCTTGGACCCTGAGCCACGGGGCGCAGAGGCGATGCGCCATCGTCGGCGCGCCGCGGGGGCAGACGCCGCGGCGCGCCGAGCAGAAGCCCCCCACCGCAGCGGCAGGCGCGGGAGTCGGCGGCCAGCCCGGGGGGGGGGGGAAGAGTGAGAGGGGACGGGCCTTCTCGGAAGGCTCGGGAAGCCCCCGGCCTTCTGAGAAGTCTGCGGGGCCTGCCCCGAAGGCCCGGGGAGCGTCTCAGGAGGCGCCGGGGCTTCCGAGAAGCCCCGTCGCCTTCCGAGAAGGCCTTCTCTTTCTCGCTCCCTCCCCCCTCGCTCGCCGCCGACAGAGAGTCGGCGCGGGCCACGACGTGGCGTGCGCGCGGAGCACGCCCTGCGGCAGCGGCAGCGACCCCCTCCTGGACTTCGGTTGGGCATGTCCCCCTATAGGTGGATTTGGGACGAAAGACAAAACAGATTAGAAAATATTCCAAAATGGTCGAAAGTAGTCAAAAAAATCGTCCCCGCATTATTTTTTGACTATTTCTGGAGGTTCCTCCTGTAGAGGGACGTGCCCGACTTAATCCTGGAGGCCCCCGAAGAAGCCCCCCACCGCACCGCCCGGGCGCAAGAGCCCCCAAACCCCCAAACCCCCAAACCCCCAACCCCCCCAAACCCCCAAACCCCCAAACCCCCAAACCCCCAAACCCCCCAACCCCCAAACCCAGCCGGCGCGGGCCACGGCGTGGCGTGCGCGTGCTGAGCACGCCGTGCGGCAGCGGCAGCAGCTCCTCGCAGGCCTCGAGGAGCCGGCGCTGCCAGCGGGCCGCGTGATCCGCGGCGGGCCTGGCCGCCGAGGTGGCGCGCCGCCGAAGGTTTGCGCGGCGGCGTTCAGGAAGGAGGTAATTGGTAGGATGGAGGAGGTGGGGGTCGATATCAGGAGGCCCAATCTGGTCGCCCAGGGAAAGTACTTGGGAGCATCGGGCGGGGCTCCGTGGGGACAGGCTATGAACCAGCTAAGGAGACGCGTTTGTTAAAGCAGTTGGGTGGAGGGCTGCCGCGCACAACCTGTTTGCCCAGCCTCTCACCAGCCAGACGGTCGTGAGCGCAGGCCAGGGGCAAGAGGAGCACGCGGTGCACTGAGATCAGGAGGGGGAACGAGACACAAGCAATCGTCGAGCCCCCACGAAAAGTACAGGAGATTATGGGAAGCAGGGGGGAAAGTTTTCAGAACATGCAGAAAAAATTGGAATCCTGGGATTTGTGTCTGTTCATTTGAAAGTGCCTGGGCCCCTCTATGAGAGGCATGTGTGGGTCATCGCTTTGCACACATCAAGGTTTCCGACCCGCATCAAAGTACTCGACCCATGCTTCGGAGGGGGAAATCGCACCGATACCACTACCCTTCGCCCATTTCCCTCTTTCTCGGCCTCCTGGGAGGCCCTCGTCGCCACCGCTGGATTCGCTTCAACATCATGGTCAGAGCGCACCCCAGGAGAGGTCCGGGGAGCAGCGGTATCGGTACCATTTGGTTTCCCCCGTCAGAGCTCGGCCACGGTCTGCTGGTGAACGCTCGGGTTTATGATGTGTTGTTGTCCCGGTATTGACGCATTGATGGCAGCTTTGCGATCTGCCTCCTGAAGATGCAGTAGAAAAGGCAACGGCGTTCTCGCGACTCTCTGCTGGGCCAGACGAGTAGCGAATCGTGTCCGATCTGTACAGTTTGCAGTCCTTGATTTCGTTGCCTTTCGGATTGCGCGTTGGGCGCCTAATCAGCTCTGAGTTGCAGATGCCATTATGCAAGATCACAGTGCGATGTCTGATGAATCAGTCTCGGCACGCTTGGGCACACAGTTCCCTGCGCGTGCGGCAACGTAGTCAGACTGGTCTGACTCCCGCTTTGCCTCTGTGCTACACGGTCGGCAGTCCGCAGTCCGCCGCGCGTGCTCGACTGGGCTCCAGGGAGGAGGAGGAGGAGGAGGAGGAGGAGGAGGAGGAGGAGGAGTATCCAGTGACCAGCGCGCCCTCACGATTCGATGCGGGCGCTGCAGGCTCGCCCGGGCCACATCGAGGGCCGTTTCCGTCACAAGCTGGCCAGATGGCCGCGTTACGTGCCAATTGGCCGTCTCGCCCGCTGTGCGTCGAACCTTCTCCAGAGGCTGAGTCGTCTAGCGCCCGCCGTTTGGAGGGCCCAATGGAATGGCTGGTGCACCGCGCGCTGGTTTCAACAGGCTGGGCACAGCGCTCTGGGCTGTTCCCACAGCGCGCGGGTTTGCATTAAACATTACGCGTGCTGCCTACTGGTGGTGAGGCTATGCTGTAGAGGCCTTGGCCTTCAGGGCATCTGTCTGGAAAGCTTCCCCTTGCCTTGGCACACCGGGTGATAAGGAGCTCAACCTAGTAACGCTTGCCACACGCCGCTTACAAGGCGACGAAGCATTTCCTTGGTCAGCGGGCGCCTGGTGCGCATGTGCAGGACGGGCGCGGCGGGTCACGCCAGCCTGACACGCGCATTCGACCAAAGATGGGGGAATCCCTTCATCCCGTCGCTGACTGCTGGTTCCCCCCTCCTCGTCGGGGCCGCTTTGCCCCGCGCCGCCTCCCCTGGGAAGGGCATCGTGTCACTCTTCGCTGGCGCACACGGTCGGGAAGCATTTTTCGCCGCCGGGCCGGCCTGGCGAACTGCTGTGTCACTTGGCATTGCCGCCTTGTCGGGCCTCATCAAGCATACCCCGTTTGATGGCTCGCCGTGGGAAATACACCGGAAGAGAACACAACAACGTCCATGGACTTCAGATTTCTTTTTTTCGACGGCCAAGAAGCTGGAACGGAACCTGGGCGTACTCTTGGAACTTCCTTCTTTTCGTAGAATGTTCGCTGATCTGGGCGTGGACGATGGATTCTTGTTGAACAAATGAAGAAAATCTCGGAAAGAGTTCCAGCTTCTTGGCCTCAGAGTTTTTCTTATCTCTAACTCTAAGCAGGGGTGCGCGAATTCCCACCGCAGAGCCGCAGGCGCGCGCCGCAGCAGCGGGGCGAGGGGAGCTGGCCGCCTGGGGGGGGGCGGGACGCAAAGCCCCCCCCCTGGCGGGTGCGCGCGCCCGCCTTCGCCCGCTGGCCCTTCAGGCAGTGCCAAGGGGAGTCACCACTGGGAGGGTCGCCAGCTTCTCCTGGAAATCGAGGTTCCAGGATGGAGAGTCGAGGGGTCGAGGACGTTCTTGGACGTTTCTTTGCGTTTTCGGGGCTCTGGGGGGCCCAGCTCCTCGAGGAGGTCTCGAGGAAGTGGCGCTTCCTCGAGGAAGTGGCGACCCCCCCTAGTGGTGACCCCCCTCTGCACCGCCCCAGCCCTGCGGGCCTCGGGGCCCGTGCCGTCCCCCCCCCCCCTCTCCGTGCCTCCTCTGCCGTGGCTCTCCTGCTGCAGAGCCCCCGCCGGCCGAGGGAGGGGCCGGCCCGTGGCCGGGGAGGGCCCGCGCTCTCGGGGCCGCGCCCCCTCGATGGCCAGCCAGGGTCCGGGAGCCCGCTCGTGGCCGAGGCTCGCGGCGGCGAGGGGCGCCCCCCATGCGCTCCTCCTGCAGCACTCCCCGTGGCAGCACGGTGGCCGTGCCCTGGCCTGGCGGCGGCGCGGAGGGCGATGGGGGAGGAGCGGGAGCGCGGGCGGTGGCCTTTGGGGAGCTTGAGGCGGGAGTACGGGTGTCTTTGGAGGGCTGGTCTGCTTCTAGGGGGGCTTCTGGGCCCCCTCCTCCTCCTCCTCCTCCTCCTCCTCCTCCTCCTCCTCCTGCCTCTTTTCCTCGTCGCCCTCCTCCCCCCTTCCCCCTCCCCCTCCTTACCTTGGCCCCTTGCGACGAGCCGCCTCATCATCGTCCCCCTCCTCCCGTCCTCCTTGGGAAGTTCTGCTCCGTCCCAAATCCGCAGCCTTCCGGAGGCCTCAGGGCTTCTGGAAGTGTAATGGACCCCCGAACGGCGCGGTGACGACACCGCATGGTGAGTCAGTGAGGATTCGGGGTGACCGCACGGTTTCGGGACGTCGTTCTCCGAGGGTGTCTCGGGCGACTGGGGCCTCCAAGCCAAGACGTGTGGCGCCATACCGTGCGGTGAGGTCGTTGCGGATTCCGCGGTCACTGCACTGTCTGTCACCGCGCGGCTTTGGGCCCCCAGAAAGACGGCTTCGAGGCGAGAGTGGATGGGCATGTTGCGGTTCCCTCGGGGGCCGCTTCCAGAGGAGTGGAAGGCGGAGAGAGAGGATCATCTCGGCTTGTCCTGGTCTGCACTGCAGGGCCAGGCGCGCATGATCGGCACCTCGTGCATCGAGTCCACAGAGGCGCTGCCCCAGACAGCGCTCGGCCCTCCTCGTGTTGGGGATGTTTCTTGTCGGTGCGTTGGGAGATTCGTTCCGGTCTCGGCCCGCTTTGGCGCCCTGCAGGGGCCCCTAAAACCCTCCTGCTCCCTGCGCTCACCCGTGTGGCCAACGCCGGCGTCGCGAATGCGTTTCCGCGCGCATATGAACTGCGGAGTCAGCACCAACGAAAACAATGAATGCCCATCGTTGCTGATCAGAGTTGCGCCGAGACCAGCTCTTCGATGGCGAGGGCGCTCCCTCCTAGACATGGAGCAGGAGGATGCTGGAAGTGATCTGGCTTACGTAGCGCCTGATTCTATAAGTTTGACCCATGAATTTGTAAACTACCTTAGTATGCCACCCGAGGACAGGACATATTCTGCCTCGAGTGCGACGAATCAGGTTGAACCTCGTTCCTGATGGGGCAATCTAGCCAGGTGAATCATGCCGAAGTCTCTTTTAGGCTCAAGCCGAACCGTGACAAAAAGACTGAGGATCCCCCTCCCTCGGCGTCCCTACCCCGCTGCGACAGGAGGGGGAGGAAGAGGTGGAGGAGGACGAGGAGGAGGAGGAGGAGGAGGAGGAGGAGGAGGAGAAAGCAGAGGAGGCGGATGAAGAGCACGGGGAGGATGGAGAGCACGTTGATGACCTGCGACGCCGTCCTACGGCAACGACCCGACGAGGGCGGCCACCGGCATCGTGAGAGGCCGCGGCCATGGGCCTGCAGGCCCTCAGAGCGGAGGAGGAGAGCACAAGCGAGTGCCGGCTCGGAGTCAGCTCGGGCTGCGCGGCTCCTGCGCTCAGCAGCGCGGGTCCGAGGGCCTCGGCCGAAGTCCGATCGTGGGACGCCAACGGGCGCCAGGCCCCGATCCACATCCCCCCCCCGCCCCACCAGGGGCTGGTTGCCCAAGACCCGCTCACGGCGGTTGGGCAAGAGCAGGCAGGGAAGGATGTGGGAGGAGGAGGAGGAGGAGGAGGAGGAGGAGGAGGAGGAGGGCCACGCATCAGCCCCAACTCCCGCCCCCTCTCCTTCGTCAGGAGGTTTCGCTTCGTCTCCTGGTCTCCTCCTCCCTGTCTGTGTGCCTGTCTGTCGGTCTGTCGGTCTGTCTGTCTGTCTAACTGCCTGTCTGTCTGTCTGTCTGTCTGCCTGCCTGTCTGTCTGTCTGTCTGTCTGTCTGTCTGTCTGTCTGTCTGTCTCTGGCCGTCTTACTTCCTAAGCTAAGAGCATGTAGCACCCCGCAGATGCGGATGGAAGAGCGAGGGGGCAGACGCGGAGAGGGTCGCGGGTGGGTCGCGGGCGAGACGCAGACGGGTCGCGGGTGGGTCGCGGGTGGGTCGCAGGCCGGGTCCCGGGCGGGACAACGACAGCAAACAATAAACATCAGCAACATCAGCATCGTCATCACCATCATCTTCATTATCATTATCATTATCGTCAGCATCATCATCACCATCATCATGACCATCTTCATCATCTCCATCATCATCATCATCATCAGCATCATCATCATCATCATCATCATCATCATCATCATCGTCATCGTCGTCGTCGTCATCATCATCATCATCATCATAATCACCATCATCAGTATCATCATAAACAACAACAACAACAAAACACAATAACAACGACAACAGCAACGATAATAGCACCAACAACAACAACCGCAACACCACCAACAGCAGCAACAACCTTACCAACAGCAGCAACAATCACAACACCACCAGCAACAACAACGACAGACACAACAACAACAACAACAACAACAACAATCACAACAACAACAACAACAGCAACAACAGAGGCAGCAACAAAAACAACAACAACAACATTCGCACCGCGGAAGCCCATTTCAGCCACGCACCCAGGGACAGTGAATGACCGTTCGGTCCCCTCGCTCTGACGTGCGTGCCAGTGGTCCCTGGAGCGGTGCTCCAGGGGTCACCTGGCCCTAGTTTGATCAACCCCAACCCCCCTCCTGGCCGACCAGCCCTTAGTGGGGGAGGCAAGGTTCAGGATAACGTTCGTGCCGCGAGGTGCGAGGTGCCGAGGTGGAGGAAGAGGAGGGTGACGGCGAGGAAGAAGCGGGATTCTGCATGGGGTTCGGAGGGCGAGGGTGCCGAGGGGAACGAGGGCGAGGACAGGGGAGGACGGGGAAGGGCGGCCGAGGCTCGACGAATGGACCCCCGAAGTGCCATCGGAAGCGCAGCACCGGAAGGCAGGGTGGTCAGCCTGCGTAGGCTCCTCCCACCTTAATACTTCCTGCTTCCTCTCTTCTCCGCCTCCCTCCTCCTCCTCCTCCTCCTCCTCCTCCTTCTCCTGCTCCTGCTCCTCATCGTCGTGTGTATCGTCGTCGTCTAGCCAAAAACCAGTTTCGGGACCCCGTCCTGGACACCGTCTTCCTCAAGCTGCGTCAAGCCGCAAATGCGGGGGCCCGCCGAGGGCAAAGATCAGCGACGTCAATCAAAAGTTTCATCCAGCATTGTTCTCTCTGCGCCTCCCCCTCTCCACAAATACTGTCAAGACGTGCTGAACTCCGGACCACCTTTGGGCTCAGCACGGGCTCGATCTGGTTTTTTCGGGCCAGCGCGATCACTGTGCCCGCACCCCGGACTTGTCCAGGGCTGTGCGTGCCGGCCAGGGTTTCCGAGGGAAAGCGGGCCGCGGCCACGAGGACCCCGGACACCTGGATCTCTGAGCCTCGTTGTTGAGACACCCGAGCTTCCCCCCGATCTGATTCGAGCCAGAAAAAGATCAGGTGTGTTGTCAAAATCTCGGGCAGGATTATTACTTCTCGGATCGACGTTGGCCCCTCCCCTCCCCACCTGGCGGCGCCTCTGGCGCCGCCCCTGGCGCGCTCTACGCGCCAAGAGGAGGGGGTCCAACGTCGATCCAGGAATCCGCGCGGGGCTCGGAAGGTTTATGCTCATGGAGTGGTTCTTCCTTCAGCATAATCACACAACCACGCGAACCTGCTGTAGACGTGGCTAGACGTGATGATGTTATGCGCCAGTCTGTTTGCCGTCGCCCTCGCAATATTTGACCTGATGCGCCAGTCTATGATTTCTCTTGCCTGCGGCTCTGGGTCTCTGAGTGCCTGGCTCGACAGTCGGTCGAGAGCTTGTGCCCGAGAGCCCGTCTCCAGAACAATTCGCACGGGCCACAGGTGAAGGTATGTTTGTGTAGCGACTGAGGCGATCCTCCTCCCCAGACCCACGACGTCATGATTTCTTCGTATCGTCACCCCCAGAGGTCTCAACCCATCCTCTGGGACCGTTTTTGTTTGTATCCTGAGTCGTTTTTGACGGTTTCCAGGCCCGAGAATGGCCCCCAGAGGCGGAAAATGGCGAAAACCCATGTGTCGTGATTTCCGTCACGACCCGAGGGGGCCCAGGTCCCTCGTGCGCCCTCCCGCACTCTCCCCGCCCTCTTCGCTGCCCTCTCGCGACTGCGCGGCCCAGGACCTCTTCGAGGAGCTGTTCAAGCCCATGGAGGCTGGGCGTGGGGAGGCGAAGGAGCGGGAGGGAGGGAGAGCGGAGCGGGGGAGGCGGAGGGAGGAGGAGGGATGGGGGAGGGACCAGTCCGAATTTCTCTGTGTACTCCTGCCCTCAGCTCGGGATGGTGTCCAGGCCGTGTCCAGGAAGTCTGATCGAGCAAGGGCAGAAGGAGGAAGAGGGAGGAGGAGGAGGAGGAGGAGGAGGAGGAGGAGGAGGAGGAGGAGGAGGAGGAGGGAGGATGGGCGAAGGCTGAAGGCAGGAGGGAGGAGGAGAAGGAGGAGGACTGATGAGGAGGAGGAGAAGGAGGAGGAGCAGGAGGACGAGGAGGAGGAGGAGGAGGAGCAGGAGGAGGAGGAGGCGGACGAGAAGGAGGCGGAGGAGGAGGAGGAGGAGAAGGAGGAGGAGGAGGAGGAAGAGGAGGAGGAAGAGGAGGAGAAGGAGGACGTCGTTGGCGCCGGCGGCCCTCTCGTCGTCGCCCCCCTCGCCGCCGCGGCCGCCGCGTGGCCTCCTGCGGGTCGCAGTGGAGAGGAGGCATGCTACCAAACAAGTTCGAGACGTCTAGAACAGGTGTTTTGATTGCTTTCAGATTGTAAACAAAACACATGTGGCAAACCTTTCCAGGACATGTTTCCGACATCTCAAACACATGTTTCAGTCGATGCTGGGACTGTTCGGGTGTCCATTGTCGTGGCATCCGCAAGCCCATGGGGGAGGCCCGGCCGTCGCTCTCCACCCTGCCCCCGCTCTCGTGAGCACCGCCTGGCCCGCGCTCCTGCTCCCTCCCGGCCAGCCTGCTCGCCTGGTGCTCCTGCTCGCCTGCTGGTGCTGCTGCTTTTTTCTTTCACTCCTCGTCTTTCAGGATGGAAAAAACACACAGACACAATTAATCGTCGACTCCCAGGAAAATATAGGAAAATATGGGAAGTGGGGGGGAAGACAAGAAGCCAGAAAATCTGGGAACATATTGGGAATCTTTTTATTTGTGTGTATTTATTTGTGTGTCCCAGGGCCCCTTCAGTCCTCCCTCCCTCCTCCTTTTTTCCCCCGTCGGATTCCATCCTCCATTCCCATCCCTTCTACCCCCGCCCTGCTCTATTCTCCTTCCGCCCCCCCTCTTCCAGCGGTGCTTGCCCGAGCAAGGCTTCTACTGAGGACGAGAAGGTGTTCCCGCTCAGTTGGAAGTGGCTCTGGTCAAGCAGGGTCTGGGGTACACACACACACACACTCTCTCTCTCTCTATATATATATATCTTTCTTTTTCGTGCGCACTGGTGCTGAGCCAACAGCTCCAATAGCTATTGCCTCCTGCCCCCTCCCAGCCAAACCTCCGTTTTCTCCTCACACTTCTTTGGGGAACGTTAGGGGAGATGGGCTCAACGTGGAATGTATCGAGCCCCAGTCGCCCCTTGGTCGCTGATGTGGGGCCCGATTGCCCACTCCGCCCAGGAGCCTGCAGCCTCGCTGCCGGGGGCCTAGCGCCGGCTTGTCCGCGATGCAGCGCCGATTCCTCGATGCCTCTACCTCCTCCTCCTCCTCCTCCTCCTCCTCCTCCTCCTCCTCCTCCCTCCTCCTCCTCCTCCTCCTCCTCCTCCTCCTCCTCCTCCTCCTCCTCCTCCTCCTCCTCCTCCTCCTCCTCCTCCTCCTCCTCCTCCTCCTCCTCCTCCTCCCCCTGGAGCCGGTCTCCCCCTCGTGATGCCCCTCGGCTTTCGGGTCATCATCTGGCGCTGCGGCGTCCGTTCGGGACGGTCCGGGCACCCCTGGAGCGCCCTCGGCGAGGCGCAGCCGCTGGAAGGCATCCCGAGGCTGGAGGGCCGCCGAGAACCAGCGAACGAGTCCGAAGACCTCAAGCCTCAAACCTGTCGGCCTTCAGCCCTGAACCTCAAACCTAAAACCTTGAAAACCAAACAAAACAAAACATCCGAAAACCTAACACCTCGCACCTTAAACCAAAGCCTCCGAAAACCTAAAACCTCAAACCTCAAAGCTTGCCCCCCCCCCGATCGTTGCCTCTCCCTCTCCCCCCCCTCCTGCTGCTCCTGCTGATCCTGCTGGTGGCCCCGCGCGCACCACGCGCACGCGCAGGTGGAGCCGGAGCATGCCCCCGCCTCAGCAGGGCCTCGGCCCGCAGAGTTTCTAGCGGGCTCGCTGTGCCCTCCTCCTCCTCCTCCTCTTCCTCCTCCTCCTCCTCCTGCTCCTCCTCCTCCTCTTCCTGCTCGGAAAGGATCGGATATGGCCAGGGACCCGGTTGAGGGGAGCCCGTTAGTGATTGGGCCCTGGAGCCCCCAACATGGAACCCAGATCTCCAACGTATTGAAAATAATCAAGACGGAGGTTTTTCTCGATTTTCGGCCTCTAGCGGCCCTCGCCGTGCCCCGGGACCGTCAAAAAAAGACTCGGGATGAAAAATTTGGTCCTGGGGAATGGGTCGAGACTTCCGGGGACCCCGTATTGAAAAAACACGACATCGGATCTTTGGGACTGGAGTCGCGAAGCCACGTCTGCCGTACTGGGTGTTTCTTCAGGTGGCGGCAGCAGTTGGTGGACTGGGGCGTGGGGGCGTCCCACAGTGCGCATCGCTAAACCAGGTCACACTAATCCCAGTCCTGCCGACGCTCGAGAGGAAGGGGAAGGGGGATGGGAAGCATGAGTGAAGGTCCATCGCACGGCTTCAGGAAGGGTCGACTCCGCCAGGGCTGTGGCTCGAGCGTTTGAATGGCAGCATTGGGGATTGCCTGACCGATGGGGATTGAGGCCTTCTGCACCACTGGGCTCCTCTGTGAGCTCTTCGGGCGACGCCCACTAAGAAGGATGGGAAGGAAGTAAGGAAGGAAGGAAGGAAGGAAGGAAGGAAGGAAGGAAGGAAGGAAGAGGAGGAGGAGGAGGAGGAGGAGGAGAAGGGAGGGAGGGGGTGCAGGAGAGCGGGGGGGGGGCGGAGGTGGCGGAGGAGAGAGAAGGGGGGGGGAAGAATGAGGAGGATGGAGGAGGAGGGCGGAGGGCAACGAAAGAGCCGGATTTGGAGCTGGAGGAGGCGGAGGAGGAGCAGGAGTTGGAGGAGGATGCGGAAGGTTCTGTTGTTGCTGGGAGGCTCCTGGTCGCCACGGCTGGATCTGGTTCTTTTGTCATCGTGGCCTGCACGCGCTCGAGGACACGCTGATGGGTTTGGGGTTCGATTTCGTGGGGAGGTCGTAGCAGGATGGGGTGGAGGGCGAGGGGGAAGAGAAGCAAGAGGAGAATGGCGCTGAGGACCAGGATCAGGAGCGTGAAGCGCTGTTCGGATGCCTCGTCTTTTGCCAGCGGCTCACGGATGGTATCAACGATTCGCGAAGCTCTTTGATCTTCCCGGAGGGCGGATGAGGATGATGTGGTAGTTAGAGGGTACATCAGGGGGGAGTAAGAGGAGGAGGTGTTTCGAGGGTGGTTATTCGAGGGGTGCGGCTTGGAAGAACCCCTCTGCCCTCCTCTCCTCTTTCCCGTCGCCATTTTGGCTCAAGTACGAACCACGGGCCCTGATGGCTCGTGTTTGTGCAGCCAAGGGGCCAGCTCGACCGCCCCAACGAAAACAGTTGTCAGATTCACGCACACTTGCCTGAGCTACCAAGCTATGCAGGTTTTGTCTCCTAGCATCTTGCCACATGGTTAGGGATGCTTCTGCCAAGTGTATCCACTGCAAGTGCAAGTCGAACCAGGACTCCCGAAAGTGCTGCGACAAGTGCAAAGCAGAGCTTCACCTTCCCACGTGCCCATGGCGCGCTCCTCAGGGTGCCTGGGGTGATGCGGATGGTGCCCACGCGGGCGGCGGCGGCGGCGGCAAGGTTCGCAGAGCACGGGGCGACGCTCGAGAGAAACCCGCTTCGGAGACCCCGACCTTGGCCACTATGCTCGCGGCCCTTGCTGACCATGCCCCTCCCGAGCATCCGGTTGCCCTCGAGGACTTCCAGCAGAAGATGCAGCCCCCACCAAAGGAGCACCTCGGGACGTCCCACGCCAGGTACCAGAGGCTGGCCCCCGCGGAGCGCCGCGCGGCCCAGGCGCTTGAAACAGCGGCAATATCCGAGCACAAGGTTTATGTCTGGCGCGAGTAACGCGCGGCCTGCAACACGGAGTGCGCCAAGTTCTTCGAGCAGGCCCGGAGGGAGACCACGGCCACGTTGGAGCTCCTCGGTGCTGAGCGCGGCAGGCAGGGCCCGTCTCTCCCCGCCTTCACGGTGCCAGAGTTCAACCTCGGCAGTTTCCGCGTGGACGACATCGACCAGCTGGTGTCCGAAACAGGCGGCGAGCGCACCACGGAGGGGCTCGACCTCGACCCATCGGGGCAGACGCAGTGGAACGACGTCAAGTCGGCCTTTTGGCCCAGGGGCTCAGGGGCAAGGCCATGGAGATCGCCTGCCCGAGCGCGGACGCGCTCAGGGCGCGCCGCGCTGAGCTGGTGGCCACGCGTTCGCGCCTCGAGGTCAAGCGGCGCCGGGCCGACCACGCCGAGCAGGAGGCCCTGGATGCCGAGGCGCCCCTCGCCGCCGCCTGCGAGCGCGGCCTCCCGCCCCTCCCGCCCGCGAGCGCGGCGGCTGCGGCCAGCGGCGGTGCCTCCGCGACGCCCGGCGGGAGGCAGGCCCCCCAGGCTTCCCCTGGCGCCGCGCGCCGCCGACGCTTGTGGGCCTCCTGCTGCTGGGGCTGAGGCCTTGGCATGCCTTGGCTGCCGCGGCGCGCGCCCGAACCGCGGGGGCCCCCCGGCACTCCTCGCCGCGGCCGCGGCTGGCTTCTGGCCGGCCCCGCGGCCCGCCAGAGTCAGAAGCCAGGCTTCCAGCTCATCGGACTCAGTGCGAATGCGCGGTCCTCAGCTTTGGACTGCATTGGCGAGGCGCGGGGCACCCGAGCCACATCTTTCTCTTGCAGGAGCTGCGGTGCAGCTCGGATTGGAGGCAGGAGGTCGAGGCCGCCTGCTACAAGCGACACCTTCTTGCGGCCTTCAATGACTCCGCCGTCGGCAGTGGAGGCGGCCGCAGTGCGGGGGCAGGCCTGCTGACGCCGCGCAGCATCGGGATAACGCTGTTGGACGGGCGTACTACGCATGATTGCTCGCCTCAAGGATCGGCTGGACGTCTCGTTGCGGGTTGTACTCCAGCTGGCCAGCCAGGCAGGGCGATGATCATGTCTGCCTACTTATAGACCAGTGGGTCATGGACGATCCGCAACGTGTCCATCCTTGAGGCTGTCGGTGAGCTCATCCTCACATCCGGGATTTCCTGGGTTCGCCAGACCGACTTCCAGGATGTAGTGGGCACGCTGCAGGACACGGGGGGGCTGGATGACGTGCAAGGGGCGGCCGTTGCCCCAGACCGGCCTACATGCTATGGCACTGGAGGTGGACGCGCGATGATTCCACTGAGGCACGGATGGCGTCTGGCACTCCCGAACCAGTTTCCGATGTCTGTGCCAGTAGGATGCCCGCCGCCGCCGCCTGCTTGGCCTCAGCTCGCTGCTATTCATGCTTGTACTGACGCCGCCATGTTTCGACGACCTCCCCACCTTTCCCAGGAGTAGTGAGGACGGTGAGCTTTCACAAGATGTGCCACAAGTGAGACGTGTTGCCTCGGTGGCAGAATGTGACCTGACGAACCTCTTCGCTGCTGAGAGCGGCCGGGGACTGCTGCGGGCGCGGGGGCCACCCCGGATGGACATGCCTCAGGAGGGGAAAAAACACACAGACACAATTAATCGTCGATTCCCCAGAAAATATGCAAAAATATGGGAAGTGGTGGGGAAGACAAAAACCCAGAAAATATGGGAAAATATGGGGGATATTTTTATTTGTGTGTATTTATTTGTGTGTTCCAGTTCCCCTTCAATGCCCGCCGCCGGTCGCCCCACGGGCCCGCGCTCGGCCTCGAGGCACGGCTGCCTCGCAGAGGGTTGGCGACGTCTGGCAGCGCACACCAGTGACGCCCTTGGCCCGAGCGGCGCCTTCAGCTGGCGCGCGGGGACAGGAGCCCCTGCTCGCCGGCGCTCTCTTCGCCGCAGGGTCATTGGCGGGGGGTGCCTCGCTGGCTCCCGCCGCCGGGGGCCCATGCTCCCGATGTCCGCGCCACGCTGCTCGGTTCCCTCGCCTAATTACTCGCTGACCCGCGACACCTCGGACTACAGGATTCCTGCTCATCGTGGACCTGCAGCGGCGGCGCGCCAGGGGGTGGCGGCCATCGAGAGGCAGCGGGCCAGTGAGCGGGCCATAGCAAGGCGGCGGCTCGTCTCAAAGAGGCCTCGTGAGCAGGCGCAGGCTCCACCTGCCGCCCCACCAAATGGCAGACTCCGTCGACGCCGGCCATCAAGAGTGGATACGCAACAGCAAACGGCGGACGCGGAGGCCCAGTTCTGTTTCGACATCTGGGCCAGCCTCTGGTACGTTAGCCAGGGGATGCCAGCCCGACCTTGGGGGCACGTGCGTTGCGATGGCTCGTTGGTTCACGATCTCACGATTGCTAAACTCAAGAGGACTTGGTTCTTCTTTCGCCCGGCAGACTGGCATCGGCAACGACGGCTGGCATCCGCGGTGGTGGCCATTCGGGGCTGTGCAGCACCTCGATGATTTCCTCCAGCGCGTATCCGGGGCGGCCCACTGGCCACCGAAATTACGATGCCCCATGTACTCGTCGGTGTCCAAGCCCAGCGGCGGCGCCAGACCGCTTGCCGCTTGGGCCCCCGCCAACCTCCGTGTGCGTGGCCGAGCGTACTCCTGCCCGATACTTCTACGCATGGGAGGGAGAACGCCATGCGGCGCTCGCGTGATGCGGCAGCCCTTGGAGGCGGCGCCGAGGACGCGATCTGGCACCAGATGCCGGTCGATGAGTACGCTGACGCACTCATGGGCACCACCGCCGCCACCACCGCCCTGGGCCTCGAGAAGGCCTTCGAGAACACCGCCACGTACAAGCTGTGGGAGGTCGCCGACCAGGTTCGCTTCCCGAAGCAGATGCTCAAGCTCAAGATTTCCGCTTACGCGCGCGAGAGGCTAGTGGGCTTCCGAGACGCAGTTAGCACGGGCACTACTGCCAGGTGCCTTCGGGTGGTCGTTGGAAGCACGGGGGGTGCGCGCGCCCTCGGGATGGCGGTCATCCTTGTAGTCGACCGCCTCTTGGCCAGGTGGCCCTACATGTTCGTGAAGCTGTGCCTCGATGGCCGCAGCATCCAACGGCGCGCTGATCGCAGGGCGGTGTCTGAGGAGCTCGGGGACGCCGCGTGCTACGACATCTTTGAGATTGAAGGTGACGTCCTGCCTGTTTTCGCAGGCGTGCTCCTGATGGGCCTGCCGGTAAGGGATGCGCCCTCGCCGCCGCCCACGCCGCTCGCGAGGAACGCGAGCACTGGGCTACACCTCTCGGTCTCGAACGCAAGCGTACCAGTGAGCAGTTTAGAGTTGACACCGCAGGCGGGGAGCTGGTTAGAATCGGAGGCAGGATTTGCGGTAGAGTGCAGACGGCCTTCAAGCGACGGCGCAAGATAATCGCGTGCGCCAAGCAGTGGGCCCAAGTTACCAATGTTGTCCGCAGCGGCCCATTCCCTCTCTCACCTATGGAGCGTCCCGTCTCGGGATATGACAAAGCAAGCTCAACTGGACTCGGCGCCATGTTGCGAGCAGTATCGGAGGCGCCGCGATTGGCAAGGATCGCACTTGGGCGTCTGCGGATTCGTCATGTCGACCCTGTCATTGACGCTGCGTGGAAGCCGCTCGCCCAGTGGGCCATCGCTGTCTTCTCGGATAATTCGCTGCGTGACCTGGGGCTTGGCTGGACACAGGCAAGCAAGCGCCTGGCAGCCAGGCCACTGTCCAACAGAGTGGGGTCGAGTGTGTGGTCCTGCCGCGGCCGTCCCTGCCGCGCTCCGGAGACTGGAGCGGCCCTTGGCCCGCCGACCACACCTTCCTCACCCACGATGGCGCCCTCCTGGACCCTCGCAGGATTGCCACCGTGGACCTGAGGGTGCTCGCCTCTGCCCGCCTGGAATTCCAGGAGAGCTTGCAGCTTGGGCCTCGCTGCGTGATGCAAGTGTTGCGCCGCCCCGTCTTTCCATCCATTCGGGCCGCCCTTCTGCCAGGGGGAGAAAACAAAAAACGCATGGCCGCCGGCAGGCCATCGCCGCGCTCGCTTGCAAGACTTATAGGGCCCAGGGCAAAGCCTGGAAGGCTGGGCACAGTGACCCACGCGAACGCCAGCCCCGCGAGGCGCCTGAGGGCACGCAGCGCCACCGATTCTGCAAGCATCCAGTTCTTAGCGAGCCTGGTGCTGCAGCCGCCCAAGATGCCCCTGGTATTGCTCAGCGTACGGCCGTTTCCGTGCCTGCCTCCCTTCTTGCCGCTCGAGGCTTGACGGCCCACCCCGCCGACGACCCCTTCCAGCTGGTGCGGGAACGCCTCGAGCTCGAGGGCCTTGACCCTGACTTCGGGGACGATCCCTGGGTCTCGGGGTTATGCAGCATTGCATGCCCTGACGGTTCCGGCAGGGGCCCCCCCGGGGTGCAGATCCTTCGGTGGGGTGTGCGCTTCCTTGGGCGGGGATGGGCGTGCCGCGAGGGCGGGGGCAGGCACCCTGGTGGGTCTGCGCGTGCTGGGCGCGGTCCTCAGGGGCCGGACGGATGGCGCTGCTCCAGCTCCTGCGCCAGGCCTTCCTTGCCCTTGCGCGCAGGGGTGTGCAACAGTACTATCTCCAGTGGCTCTCTGCAGGCGCGTGAGGCTCCGGCGCCCCCGCGCCCACCCGTGGACACAGACCTGGGTGCTCGTGCGTGGCTCATGTTCTGCCCCTGGACATTCGATATTGTCATCGGGGACTCCTCCTCCTCCTCCTCCTCCTCCTCCGAACCGCCCCCGGAAGGCCAAATGCAAAGTTGGACTTCATCGGGGACGCCATGGCCGATGTCCAAGCGACAGCGGGAGCGGCCAGGGAGCCTGGCGCGAGCGGTCGGGGGGCCCCAAGCACCTCTGCAGCGATGCCGCCAGCTTGGCCATGCAGCACGCTGGCACGCTCGCAGACACCGCCGGCAGACCGAGTCAGGGGGCTTAGAGTCTGGGTGCGCTGCATGGCGAGGGTCGGGCCTCCTCCGGGGACTTCGCCTCGCTCCCTCCCGTGGGACCTTTGGCGCCTGGAGGAGCCGGCCCTGCGGACGGTCCACACGCCGCACCCCTCCGGGGGAGGGCGCTGGCCCGCACACCGTGGCGTAGGCCTCCCCCCTCCGCACGCGATGCTCGCTCCCTGCCGCCCCCGAGGACGCCGCACCGGCCACCTCCCCGCCGGCATGTGCTCTCGCGTGTGGTGCTGGGCATGTGTGTGCTCGTGTCAACCGCAGCGTGTTCTCAAGCGGTCGGGCGAAGAAGCTCTGGCTGCACTGCGGAGGCGAGCCCACGAGCCCGCAGGCCAGGTCTCGGCGCGGGCAGCACTCTTCAGAGGCGAACGTCCCTGCACCAGCCAAAGGCTCTGGGATGGCCCTGCGGTCCCATTTCTAACAGGGGAGAGGCTCGCTCTGTGCTTGCCAGCTTGCAGGCACGGTGGCCTCCACACACAGGCCTCGGTGAGAGGCTGTGCGCCACCGGGGAGATCGCGACCAAACAATCCTCTCCTCTTTCCTCGGTACCCTTCCTCCTCCATTTGTCCTCGCCCCCTTCCGACCCTCCATGCCCTTCCTTCCATGTTCCCCTCTTCTTTCCGCCCACTCTCAGCTTGCCCCTTTCCCCTCCTCCCTGCGCCCCGTGAGGTCACAGCCCTTACATGCTACACGCAGCTCAAAGAGGACACATCCGCCTTCCCCCTCCCAGCGGCTGCAACCGGGGATGCGGATGACTGAGCAGGATGCCGGAAGCCAGCGGAAGTAGAAATGGGAGGTGACGTCAACATGTTTGTAATCAGGGTTTCAGACGTCGATAGTGGAATCGGTAGTGAGGACGATTGTAAGGTCGATCGTGAGACCGAGAGTGAAATCGATTCAATGAGATCGATAGTGAGATCGATCGCGAGATCGCTCATGCGATCTCTAGTGAGATCGCTTGTGAGATTGATAGTGAGATCGATGGTGAGATCGATCGAGGAGTCGGTAATGAGATCGATGGTGAGACCGATCGATAAGAAGATCGACCAGGAACCCAGGAATCCGGGAACCTCGCCGCCCTCCGAAATCGGCCCGGAACCCGGAACCGGGAACCCGGGAACTTGGAACCAGGAACCAGGGAACCTGGGAACCCAGCGTGCGACCAAAATCGGCGGGGCCTTTTCGCCAAATCTTTCAACATCCGCGAGGACCCCTTCAGTGCAAGCACTGATTTGAGATCATTGAATGAGATCCGTAATGAACTCGACAGTGAGATCGGTAGTGAGATCGATAGTTAACCATCGGCCCGAAACCATGATCAGGAACCCGGGAACCTGGAACTGGGAACCCGGGAACCAATGAGATCCGTAATGAATTCGACAGTGAGATCGGTAGTGAACCATCGGCCCGGAACCAATGATCAGGAAACCGGGAACCCCGGAACCCGGAACCGGGAACCCGGGAACCCAGCGTGCCACCAAGATCAGTGAGGTATTTTCGCCAATAGCAACATCCGCGAGGACCCCTTCAGTGCAAGCACTGATCGGGGAACCTTCAGGATGACCCCTAAGAAACTGAAAATATGCTTCAAGACCGCACTCGAAGGCGATCATGATGACGGTGGTGATCTCAATTGTGAACATGACGGTGATGATAGTGATGGTTATGGTGACAGCGGTGACACTTGAACCACAGCATCACATGCACGATCATGGTGTTCATCGTGTTGATAATACTTGTTGTCGATGTCGCAAACCGACAGTTCTGATCACCAGTGCAGTCACCACTGTGCAACCACAGCCCCCATCATGTCCGCCAGCTTAACTGCAACGCTCAACTTTCCCAGAGGGGGGGCCGGAATATTAAGGCGCCTCCCGTGGAGGGGGGGCCGGAGTATTAGTGTGCCGAAGCAGGGAGGGCCGGTATTTTAGGGGGGGGCCGTTTGATAAGGGATGTGGAGTACATCCGTCCGCGCCGCTCGCGCGCGCGCGCGCGCCCGCGAGGACTACAAAGACCAGGTGTCGGACCAGGTGAAGTGGCTGCGCAGCTCCATGGAGGCCCGCCCCGCCCCCATTCCCCGGGGAGGAGGGGGGGCAGGTCAGAGAGCCGGGGAGGGGACCGACGTGTACACCACGCCCTCGGGTCGGCCCAGGGAACCCCATGGGGGGTTCGGCGGAGGAGCCGGGCGTAGTGACGCTGCAGCGCCCCACAGGTTGGGAAGCGGGTCGGGGGTGGACAGAACCCCCAACAGTGACACGTCGATCAGTGAATTCTGCGTTCTCGGTTCTCGAGAGAGCGCCGCGGCCGTTCTTTTCCAGGCTCGCGCCCGCCAGGTTTGGGCCGCAGGTCGCTTTCACTAAACCACGTGTTACTCAAGGGGGGTCTGTCCGTCCCCGAGCTGGGGCGTCTAGAACTTCATCGAGCTCCCTGGCCGACCCGACGGCTTGTTGTGCGTCGCCGGGCCCCTCCTAATTATCAGAGGACGAGCAGGCACCGCAGCCGCGGCACCCGCCCCCCGTCGCGCCACGATCAGAGTCGTCTCGAGGCATCTTGGCATGGAGCGCGCCCTCGGTGGAGGTCCGTGGGGCCGCGGCATCGGCACCTGGGCCGCCAGGGGGAGCTGAGTTCCCAGACCTTCTCCTCCTCCTCCTCCTCCTCCTCCTCCTCCTCCTCCTCCTCCTCCTCCCTCCTCCTCCTCCTCCCTCCTTCTCCTCCTCCTCCCTCCTCCTCCTCCTTCTCCTCCTCCTCCTCCCCTCCTCCTCCTCCTCCTCCTCCTCCTCCTCCGCCTCCTTCCCCTCCTCCTCCTCCTCCTCCTCCTCCTCCTCCTCCTCCTCCTCCTCCCCCGCCTCCTCCTCCTCCTCCTCCTCCTCCTCCGTCACGACGGTCAGATTGTCGCTATTCTCGGCCTCCCGGGGGGCCCTTGCCGGCCCTCGGGACCGGACAAAACCGACGGAACGAAAAACCGGCTCGGGGAATGGATCGAGACTGTTGGGGGACGATGCCTTGCTTCGCTTCGCCTCAACTCTTGGTCCTGCGTCCGTGCACCTTCGGGCACCTGTGCAAAGATGGACACGTCGGACGCTGTGAAAAGCAAGGCGGGGGGCGGAGCAGGAAGGAGAAGTTGGGCGCCTCGCAGTCGGACTGGGCAAACAGCGCGTCCGAGTACGGAAATATTGGGACGGATGTCGATGCAAATTGACCTGGACGACCCCTATCTCCTTATCTCCCGAAGGGCATGCGAGGGCGACTGGAGCGGGGAATGATCATGATCACGTCCGGGTTATAGCCATGGCCTCGAGAGGGGCTTATAGTCGTGAACGTGTTGGATGTTGAGGGCAAGGCCGTGGCAGTGGTTCAAACCATGACCCCGAAGGGGCTGTTGGCAATACGATAAGGGGCGTCACGGTGATGATCATGCCATGTTAGGGCGACGGTGTTGACCGTGAGTGCGGTTAACGTGATGACCACGAGGAAGGAGTCAAGGTCATGTCGGGCTAGCTTCCCAGCGTGACGCAGATGGCGGCGAGATGTCAAGGAAGTTGGTGACTCCTCGGCGTGACGCAGATGCCGGCGAGATGTCGGGAGGGCATCGGCAGATCGAACACACCATTCCTCCTCGGAGCGGTCGTCGGGCCATAGCTCAGGCCGCAGGCGCCCGTTCGGGACGATCAATACACCCCAGAAACGCCTTCGGCGTGGCGCAGCTGTTGGAAGGCATCGCGAGGCGATAGAACGTCCAAACACCAACGAACTACTGCACGAACCAGGATCCACAAGGTCGCTTCATGCACTTGCCCGAGAGAGATCATGCCGCCGCTAGCTCTGGGGACCCTTGGCGTTGAGCTTGTTGTTGCATGTCGAAGCTGTGTCTGTCAATGGGCCGTCGTTGGGCCCTGGGGAGCTTATTGAGAGGCCTTTTCAAGGCATTTGGGGAGCCCCTTGGGGTCGTTTGGAAGCTTTATGGACCATTTCTGGGCCTTGGGGGGGCCTCTTGGGCGTGCTGGGGGCCTCTTGGGCCATCCTGGGTCCTCATTGGCAGTCTCGGGGCTCTCTGGGACGGTTTCGGTGTCGTCTGGGGCCGTGTTGGAAGCATCCTGGGCCCTCTTGGACCCTCCTGGACGCCCTTTCTGGGGCTTATTGAGCCGTCCTTTGGGCCGTTCTCTGGTGCTCTTGGAAGGCCTTTGGGCCGTCGTGGGGCGATCTCGGAAACCCGTGGATGCGTCTTGGGCTGTCAGGAACTTCAGAAACAAAAACGCGAGAACGCCGATGTCGCTGGAAACATCCTAAGAGCATTCGTGAGTGTTGCCTCTCGCGACCCTCCCGGGGGTTTCTTAAGAGCCTGTTGTATTGTGCTGTGGCCACCTTGGAACCATTCGGCGCGACAGTCTTTCTCTACGTTCCCGCGTCTTATTTTCTGTTTTGTTGTTTTTGTCGTTGTGTATTGCGTTGCGCGTTATTCAGTCATACTGCTCTTACAAAGCAGGTGTGATAATGTAATACCGTTAGTTCTTCCGCATAAAATCGTATACAAACTTATCATACATGGAAACATTTGGTAACTCATACAAAAAGGCTTCTATGTGCAACTCACACTATGGATACCAACGTGAATGTCAATTACACAAAAAATTATGTTGTATAGCGGAACAACGGATTCTTTCTGCAACCCACAGCAATCAGGAGACAATTTGTACATCGTTTACAGGCCGGATTCTAGTGAGCAGCCGCGCCAATGAATATTGCATGTGTAATCCGCACAACAGGAATCAATGCGTAAATCGCCCACGCAACGTTTTCGTTTGACAGGGAGCTGGGCAATTTTGGATGGAGGCAGAGAACACACACAGAAGATGACTTCCCCCATCGGTTTGCTTACTTTATTTCCCCACATCCTGAGTGGGGTTCTTGTTTTCCCAGAACGCCCTCTCCTTCCCACCCACCTCCCGCTCCATCTTGCATACAGCACAATATTATTCCTACCACACACACCATACCATACCGTAGTTCCTACCACACATACCATACCATACCATACCATACCACACCATACCGTACCATACCATACCATGGCGTACCATAGCATACCATACCAGATCACACCAATGCCACACCGTACCATACCATACCATACCTCCAGTACCATACCATACCATATCATACCATACCGTACCATACCATACCTACGAGGAGGGTATCCGAAAACCATACTATTTACATGGTTTCGTGCCCCTCCCACCCTTCCAGGGAGGCCCCGCCTGAGCGAGGAGGGTATCCGCAAACCATACTATTTACATGGTTTCGTGCCCCTCCCACCCCTCCAGGGAGGCCCCGCCTGAGCGAGGAGGGTATCCGCAAACCATACTATTTACATGGTTTCGTGCCCCTCCCACCCTCTCCAGGGAGGCCCCGCCTGAGCGAGGAGGGTATCCGGAAAACCATACTATTTACATGGTTTCGTGCCCCTCCCACCCCTCCAGGGAGGCCCCGCCTGAGCGAGGAGGGTATCCGCAAACCATACTATTTACATGGTTTCGTGCCCCTCCCACCCCTCCAGGGAGGCCCCGCCTGAGCGAGGAGGGTATCCGCAAACCATACTATTTACATGGTTTCGTGCCCCTCCCACCCCTCCAGGGAGGCCCCGCCTGAGCGAGGAGGGTATCCGACAACCATACTATTTACATGGTTTCGTGCCCCTCCCACCCTCCAGGGAGGCCCCGCCTGAGCGAGGAGGGTATCGGAAACCATAATATTTACATGGTTTCGTGCCCCTCCCACCCCTCCAGGGAGGCCCCGCCTGAGCGAGGAGGGTACCCGCAAACCATACTATTTACATGGTGTCGTGCCCCTCCCACCCCTCCAGGGAGGCCCAGCCTGAGCGAGGAGGGTATCAGCAAACCATATTAGTTACATGGTTTCGTGCCCCTCCCAAGCGGGGCCCCGCCAAAGCGAGGAGGGCATCAAGAAAATGGGTCCCACGAAACCGTTAATCTCTTTATGTGGGGAACTCCGTTAGCATACATTTTTTTTTTTTGGGGGGGGGGCGGGGTGCGGGGAGCCCACACAAAAATACGAAAATACGACTGTGGATTTCAGTTTGCGTTTGTTCTGCCATCGGCCTCCTCACAAATTTGCAGCGGTTCCCCTTTCGAATCGCATCAGTTCGTGGGCGATCTTCAAGTGTGTTCCTGGTGTATGGATTGCGAATGGAAGCCTTTGTGCGTGGCTTGAATGTAGAATTCTTTTTCTCAATCCTCCCTTGGTTGGGTACTCGTTTTGAATAGAGCACTCTGGTCGCCTCCCGCCCACCTCCCTCCCGCCTCCTACCTCCTCCTCGCGGCGCCCCCTGGGGGGTGCGATCTGCGCAACTGTCGCCACTTTCGTGGGCTCCTGGGAGGCCCAGCGGAGTTGGGATACACGCGGATCACCTCGGGACCTCGCGGCGCCCTTTGGGGGGCTGCGATGTGCGCAGCTGTCGCCACTTTCGTGTGCTCCTGGGAGGCCCAGCGGAGTTGGGATACACGCGGATCACCTCGGGACCTCGCGGCGCTTGGGGGGCTGCGATGTGCGCAACTGTAGCCACTTTCGTGGGCTCCTGGGAGGCCCAGCGGAGTTGGGATACACGCGGATCACCTCGGGACCTCGCGGCGCTTGGGGGGTTGCGATCTGCGCAATTGTCGCCACTGGGCTCCTGGGAGGCCCAGCTGAGTTGGGATACGCGCAGGTCACCTCGGGACCTATCGGCGCCTGGGGGGTTGCGATCTGCGCAACTGTCGCCACTTTCGTGGGCTCCTGGGAGGCCCAGCGGCGTTGGGGTACACGCAGATCACCTCGGGACCTCGCGGCGCCTGGGAGGTTGCGATCTGCGCAACTGTCGCCACTTTCGTGGGCTCCTGGGAGGCCCAGCGGAGTTGGGGTACACGCAGATCACCTCGGGACCTCGCGGCGCCTCTGGGGGGTTGCGATCTGCGCAACTGTCGCCACTTTCGTGGGCTCCTGGGAGGCCCAGCGGAGTTGGGATACACGCAGATCACCTCGGGACCTCGCGGCGCCTGGGGGG